ATAAGAATTACATATCTCTTACGACTTTTGCTAAAGATAGCCCATGCGGGGCTAAGTTGTATCGTCGAAAGTCGTGAGTGGCGAAATGACCAAGTACCTATCAAAATTCTACATAGACACAATTTTTATTTTCAAAATGTGAAAGCAATGAAATTGCTGGCCATCCAAAGTTACCCTTTTACTAAACGTTACCTATAACAATTATCTGATGACGAGCATTCATTATTTTCTGCAGCTCGTTAGAACTTCGCACCATTGACTTCTACTCTTTAAACTGTCATGGATCGGGGCTGAATAGCCAAGGCCGCTGCGGCAGTTTTCGTAGTAAATCTGGCATGTGATAGGATCAATGAGGGTACCTATTCCGCCCTCAGACATCCTACGACCGATCCTCAGTGATTGATGACACTATCAAAAAGGGAAAACCTCCGAACGGATAACTGTTCTTCGTTTTACCATTTTAGCTATGGTAGTAGTGAGTTTCAATTATCAGCATTAAAAACTAATAAACAGTTAGCGTTTCGTTTACCCATCCCAATTCCGTATCGTAGCCTTTTATTCCGAATTCAGAGTTCTGAGTTCACATCAACTTTGCATCGTGTTTGGTGTTTACGAGTGGTGGTCGTCACTTTGCAATTCAATAGTGTTTCATCATTCTGGTAACGGTAGCCTCTACAAAAAGCCGTTAGGATCTGCAAAACAATGGAGAATTGGATGGCCGCATTTCAGGTGCCTACCATTTACCCGCCAGCGCCGGTCCAAACACATAACACTTATCCCACGCGATCATCTCGCTAGAAGGGTTTGCGTTGAAATTGCTGTTTCGATCGGTACAAGACAAGACGTAAACAAGACATGTTCTCTAGCTCATCTCTGAAGTCTGACATTAACGCCTATATCATAGCCAGTTACCACCGATTTTACTTCTGCTTGCCTGGTTCGTCTGTGCTGTCTCACATCACAACTATGCTGAATTAGATCACTTGCTGGAAACTGCTCAAAAAGCATCCTCAGATGTTTTGTAAGCTGTCAGATCAGCACCGGCCCACTCCCTTTCCAAGTCTCTAGAGCAGGTAAGCCGCTTACATAAGCTGACAGATTAGAGGCCAACTCTCAGCAGCGAGGCGGCCTGATCGACAACCGAGTCCAAATACCTGCACGGATAAGAGGACGGACCCCAGCAGTCAATTCACCACCCATTTACTCACTCGATGTAAACAATCCCAGAAGGCTCATATAGGTCTCTCAGTTTTTGTTCTTGATAGACATTGAGCCATGACTTGTATCAGGGTAAACACCAAGGTGCCCTTTTGAAGGTGCGTAATCACTATATCGTGATATAATAAGACATGAGTTATGATAAAATAATAATGCCTGAACAGGCATTCACGAAGTGAGTATTGAAGCAGCAAGTTACTAATGATGACATTGTAAAAATGAAAAATAGTATCGTCTTTAGATTTAATCTGATAACTTACGAAAACGCTTATTAACCCTAGAACGCCTAGGGGGGGGGGGGGGTTGTATCAACCCCCCTGAGGTTTTTTCGAAGTGCACGCTAAACGGCTTGTCGTAGCGGGCTGAAATTTTCAATACCCTCTGGGGCAACCTTTGCGCATCTTTTGCCGAAAAAATTGATCGGGTCATGTCAGGTCACGGAGTTATGACGTCATAAGAGGTACAGCCTCCGGCCGGATTTTCACAAACTGAGTGCCAACGCCCGAGGTTTCCTGCCGGTGGTACGGACATCGGTTGATGGATCGTGATGAAACTTCCCATGCATCTTGGGGCAAGTATTGGCTATCATATGGTATAAGAAATTTGACCGGGTCAGGTCAGGTCACGGAGCTATGACGTCACAAGAGGAACAGCGTCCGGTACTATTTTTGAAAAGCGCCCGAACCACTATTTTGCTAATTCTTGTCACCTCAATGGGAATATGCAGCAATATTAGCTTCTATAGGGAGCAAATGGACCTCCCAAATCCAAAAATACAATCAGATTTCAAAAATTTAAATTTTGATTTTTCGAATTTCTGCCGCCGACTGTGACCTTGCCGACTTCCGGCGCTCCCAACGCGCCATTTTTAGAGCTAGGGAAACGAAATACATACCAAACGATAGAGAATTGATCAAGGAACACGATAGTGAAGGTTTCAAGTCGATATCTCCCACCGTTTTGCCGCAATCGCCGCCGAAAGTTGAAAAAAGTCTATTTTTCCGAAAATTTGACCTTTGACCGGTCAAAAGTAGGTCAAATGTTGACCTAGGACCAAAAAATATACCATCAATCGCGAGATCTCGTTGAGAGCAATCCGTTGGTTTTTTCCGCTAAGCTCTACGACCTTCCGTTTCGAAACGCCAGGGGGGGGGGTCGTAACAACCCCCCCCCCTGGTCGTTCGTGTTATGAGAAATGGCCTGGTCGTGCGAGGGTTAACTGCTTAAGCGCCCACTCGCCGTCTTTCGATACGATTTGATAATGGATCTATAAAAACGTATCTTTCTGGGAGCGCTGTGGTCAACCAAGTGAGCCGGTTTCATTATACCAGTAAGTTTTATCTTTACTTTTACCTAAGGTGTGAACCTGTAATGCGAGACACGCTTGTGGGAATGATGTCAAATTCGTTTCTTTGCTTCGGAGGAAGTTGTTCCCGCCCTGACAAGCTAGTACGCTCATGCTAACGATTAATTTTCCATGGGCTGTATAGGATAGAAAGTCATGCAACTATGACCCATTCTTTAACGATAACAATTGTTAGGTATATTTTCTCAACAACCTCAACAAAGGCACTGGCATGTTTTGGCATTTGATGATTGCAACTCTACGTTATTGCACGGAATTCCTAAGAAATAAAAATATCATGATACAACATCTTGCATTGCATATCAGGGATTTACCAAGGCGATAAATTAGTCTCATTTAGTCTCGGTCCGGCTTAACGTCTGTACTTTTCAGCAATCCTGTAACCATGTTCGGTGCAATACTTGCTATCTCGATCGCATCAATCTCGATCATGAATTATTCCACGGGACGGGTTTGCCTCACCACCGGTCTGGTGACTGTCCAGTGTGCACCCTGAATGCACCGTTCACGTCGCAGATTGCAGCACATCACTGCATATCCATTCGATGCGAGACAACCAATTCAGCTTCGAGCCTGAGTAGGCTTATTAGCGTGATTTCTTGCACGAGCGTTTGTATCTTGGGTATGCAAATATTATAATATTGTGATTCAGAAACTCGGCTGTTCGCGCCTTTACAGCAGCAGGTGGGCGTCTTGCACATCTGTAACTAAATGGTCACGCCCGTCACGGCTACAGATTCAATAAGGATTGCGACCTGTCTGACCGCTTCCTAAACATAATTGAGTGCTCAAGAGACGAGGAAGACCATGACGTCGATTGCCTATTGGTTAAATTACAGCATGTGTGGTCTTCTTGTCACTGTCGCTGCATCAATATTCATTGGGATTAGCGCGACAGCATTTCATGGCTATTCAGGTAAAGCCGCAAACGGATGTTTACATGTGGTGGAGAGTCTATCGCCATTCATTCACGCCAGGCCTCGAAGCACGAGTGGTGACATACCAGTCCTCCGAACGTTACGACATCTACTGTCCATAACACCCCGAGCCCACGGCGGTTCCAACTGACCTGAGGCCAGTTTTACCAACAACAACAACAAAAAAAAAATAGCCGCCTACCGGAATTTCTTTGACTAAAGACCGCTTCACCTACGGAGCGTAAACGCGATGGGCACGTAAGCGGAGAGGGCTTTACCGTTTACGCTCCGTATGTGAAGCGGTCTTTAAGCAAAAAATTCCGGCAGGCGGCTGCTTTCTGTTGGTAAAACTGGCCTCTGACCAACCGAGCCCGAGGCGATTACAAATAACCAGCCACATCCAGTGCAGAGCCTTCGGCACTCCATCGGCCCTCCGTTCGGTCCCGTCAAGTGCTAAGACTGTGACACGTAAGCCGATCGCCCCTGTCAAGGTATAAAGTTATGTGTCACACGGCATTGGCAGCCGGCCCGACACTGGTCCCATTGCGTAGCCTGCAGACATGCACGGCGCTTGTAACAGGGGCGGCAGAGATGGCCCGGCGAGCTGGACGGCCTGCCCGACCGGTCACCCGCGTCACCTGGTCAGTTGGTCAGTGGTCACCTTTCTCTCCACTGCGGCCGCTGCTGCAACGGCGCCCCCCCCCCTCTCCAGCGACCTTGGCACCGGCCGGTCACGTGCTGCCGGGAGCGAGAGCTGAGCCTTGATAAGGCGCATCTGCCTCCTCCAGCACGAGTCTGCTCGTGAGACGGCCGGCGGCAGCAGCTAGGAACCCGGTGAACCGCAGTGAATCGTGAGTGAAATGCTGGAACCGTGCAATTATGCGTGATGACTGCGTCAGGAGGAGCAGACCAAATAACTCGCAGTGGAGCAAACTGCCGAGAAAGGCGGCGTTCTCGGATTCGGACTAAAATAACGTGCCCTCGACTTCATGGAAAGATGTTGTGATAGAATCAGGATTAGAGGCTGTATGAATGAAGAAAATTTTGTCAAAGTAGATTCGGGATGGGTGTGTGATAAACTGACGGTCTAAAATTGATCGGCAAAACTTTCGTGCATAAAACGTTTTTGTTACAATATTGATGCATGCCATTTATTTCATCACCAACGTGTTGTCACCCTTGAGAAGCTCAATTTGCCTTAGTGACCTAAAAGGCTAACTGTAAAAAATTGGACTCAGATCAAAGTAATGACCTGCAGCTTAAGGCCACAGTGCAGTCACTTATCTTGCAAAATGAGTGACTTTTGCATTACAGAAGTGCGGTCAGTGTCAATTATTTATACGCACTTTTTTGAAACACCCGCGAAAAAATTGATATGATCACCGTCAAAATCTGAAAAACGCTGGCTGGAATCAAATTTCAAGTGTATCCATTTCAAACTCGAAAGCGATGTCCCTGTCCATACATCTTAGCTGAATCCCGTATGTAATCGTCTTCAGATGAGAAGCCTGTGCCTTATCGTTCTGCTGGCGGCCGCGTCTGCCGCGCCCACCGAGGAGAGGGCACGGCTCAGGGAGCTGGCTGCCGACGCCAAAATCCTCGAGGACGACGTGAGGAAGTCTCCAGACGGCAGCTACAGCCTAGCGTGAGTACTTGCAGCCGTGACGGTCACGGTAAGAAACCGAGACGAGAACCAGTAGCATCAGCATCAGCCAGCACTCGACTAACGATATTATGAAGTGAGAATCTGAAATGAGAGTGTGATACAATCTAGCGAATAGCGATCGTAAGACGGGACTGGGAGCAATGAACACTTCAGTAACGCTTCAAATCCCTATTCGCCTTGGCAGGTTCCGGACCGACAACGGCATATCGCAGCAGGAGCAGGGTATCTCGTACCCGGGCTTCCTGCAGGACTCGGGATCCTACGTCAAGGAGGGCCGCATCGAGTACACCCTGGACAATGGCGTGCCCGTCGTGCTCGAGTACTTGGCCGACGAGAACGGCTTCGAGATCCTGAACCCGGAGCAGCTGCAGCAGGTGCTACCCACGCCGCCGCCCACCGAGTACCCGCTGCCGCAGGTGCCCGGCGCCGGAATGCCCGTGCCGGATCCCCTGCCAGAGTTCAACGTGGGCTTCTAGGGTGACGTCAGGGAGTGGGAGCGAGAGGGGGCAGGGAGGGGAGGGATCTGGGACTGTGTAGATGGCGTGCAGGTCACCGGACCGGAGCTGCTGAGGTTTTGTTACAGATGGCGTCACTGTGCAGGTCTGCCGGTCCGCAGGTTCACGACTGTGTTGGGTAAATGTAACAGAGGCATCTGTCAGATCGCACTTGTACATTAAAAATTGGTCTTTTCTGCCAGGGATGACCACTTGATTCTCCTGTTTCGACTCCATCTCGCTTAAATCACTCGTCAGCTATCGCTGTCATTTGTCGCGCATTGTCACTCGGCATTATCACTTGTCTCATTATCACTTGTCACTACGAACTGGGTCATTTGTCTCACTGTTACCTATCTGTCACTTGTATCATGCTACTGTCAAATATCTCGCTGTCAGCTAGCTCCATCATCTACCAATGTTGACACTTGACAATACCGGCTGCTGTGTTCGTTGAAGTTTGTTGCATGAGCTGCGTTGTGATTTATGTTTGGATCGTGCCGCTGATTCATTGATGGTCTATGCTGGAAGTGACGTTCTGCAACAGTTTGAATGTGTTTTGTGCCTGTTTTGCCGTCCATGATAATATATGCGTATTCGTATATGAATTGTTGAGTCCCGTACCAGCGTTTCATTTCCCTGGTACTCTTACCAGTGGTCTCGTGGTAATAAATCACTTGAAGATAATCTTATCTGGAAAACGCCTTCACGGTGCGATGCGTTGGTCCAGATCATAGTGGCTCTGAAGAAATTATCGGTAGAAGTTGTCGTAATATTGACCGGCAGCATTGATATACCGGGGCCAGGGGTGAAAAATTGTATCGTTTTGTCGTTGTCGACGACAACCGAGAAGACGATCTTATGACGACCACGCGCAGCGCCTGAACTGATTTAGACCTCCCGCTTAGTGCGGTTAGAAGCGCGCAATCCATTCGTATCTGCCCACCCAACCCAATCGCCTCTCCCACGCAAACCATTCTCTGTCCCTCCCCATCAAATCGACTCGCAGTTCTCGAGTCCGTTACCACCCTACGCGGCGGCATCCGCCAGTGGAAAATTTCCTGGTAGCTACAGACATATTCCAACTCCCCGTAGCTATCTAGTATATACTGCGTCGTTCGACCATCGTTCGGACGGCCGACCGGCGACCCTCATAAAGGCGATCAATAACCCGGTTTACATAGCATATTTGACGAGGCTCTAGCTCGTTAATTTGGCGATAATTTCGATGCAGTGGTCTACAAATATTTAGAGGGGATCATTTTGTAAATTGTTAAGCACCATTGGCATCTTTTGCAACATCACGGACGGAGATATAAGCTTGCAACAAACCCTATGTAAACCGGGTTAATGACATATCAAGTGGTCGCCGTGGTTGTCCACTGGCAACACGTGTCTGGCAAATCTAGTACCTTCCAGGACTCGGCCGGCCCCTGCCCGCACCCTTCAGCGCCGCCCCCGGCCGGCGGTCAGTTAGCGTCCCCTCCAATCCGCCGGGGCTCCTTTTGTGACGTCATACCCACCCCCGGCGGCGCCTGGGGGTAGGTCCGCGGCGGGACCGCGCCAGTGCCGGTAATATTTTGATGCGGGGAGGGCACGCCATGTCATGCCCACGAGGATATGGTGTCTCGGGACTTCCGAGGTCGAGGAATAGGGATCGTCGGACATTTGAGCTTGACAGCTGAGCGCCCTGCGCTATCAAGAAGGAGAGGAATTATAATGTATTCGCACGCAGGGTCCGTGGCGTCTGCACGACTTAAGTGCTTGTACTAACTTGAGCACGTTTTGTTGAAAGGTGAGTGGAAGTCGACCAGTGGCACCGTCGAAGAGTCACTGAAAGGCGGGTCAAAAGGGCTATCGAATCTTTTCCGCGGCGCCGTAGCTCTATAATTTGTTCCCGAGTTGTGGGCCGGTGTTTCGAAGAAAAAAGTTGAAAAAGGCAATATTTTTCATTTAATGGCATCTGGTGACCTGGTGACCTGACCTTTGACTTGATCTAACAAATGAATGACATATTTTCATCCTTATTTTGGACGTTCTTTCGAATCAGCCGTTTACTGCTTAACCCGCGCACCGACGGGGGTCTGCGCCAACTTCGCACCGACGGGGGGGGGGCGGATGACCGCCCCCCCCCTGAGATCTCGAGAACGAAGCAAGATAGCGACAAGCGGTAAACGGCATCGGATACGCACGGCCAAGATCTACAATTTTTACAAAGGTCATTTTCAGGTCAGGTCAAAGATGACGTCACAGGGGTCGAAAAAGTCAAAATGGCGGCGCTAGATACGGAGAGAGTTTTTCTCGAATAACTTTCGAATTAGTCAAGATAGGAACAAACTAAGGGCATCATCGTGATCCTCTCGTCAATCCGCATCGATTGATATATATGTTGACCTCGAAAGGTCAAGGTCAAAGGTTGACCTCAGGTCACGTGATCTCGAGGTCATCATGTATATCATTCGATGCGTCTTGACGAGCTGAACACAATGAGACCATCCACGCGTCTGTATCTTGTTCCTGTACGGAGTTATTGGCCAAAAACCTTTGGTGACCTTTGATGACGTCACATGACCTCACAGCTGCCCAACAGCAAAACAGACCTCAAGGTAGTGAAGGTTGATCGTATATGAAGTCATGTATGGTATATGGGGCCATTCCGACCCGTTTTAGTGGTAAAAACAGGGAGTTGATTTTTCCCCCATTGACTTATAATGGGGAGGTCGCGAAATTGACCTGACCTTAGGTCACCGACATCAAAATTCCGAGATATACAAATTGTAGCTACTAATGACCTAATAATATCCTGCGACTTTCAAAGGCCTCCGACATCTACTGTAGCTCTGGCACGGTGACAAAGTTGCAAAAAAGTGACTTGAGGTTGGGTCATTCAAAGTGACCTGGTGACCTGACCTTAAAAGGTAGGAGGTTCAAACTTGCACACCATGTGTAAAATTGATGAGGTTATAGTCATACCAAATTTCGCGGCGCGTAGCGCCGCGGTTTTCCCGCTATTCGCGAAAAACCTCAGGGGGGGGCGGATATCCGCCCCCCCCCCCCCGTCGGTGCGCGGGTTAACACTGCTTGACCCAGGATCAGAGTTAAAGAGCGGGGTGTTGTACCCCCCCCCCCCCCCCAGCAGGGCATGGAAATCAAGGACCCTCAGCGGGGCGCGGGTTAGACATCTTTAGCCGACAACCAAATAAGCCCGTTTTCCTTCGGACGACAACCACCGAAACACTTTTTTCAGCCCTGACCGGGGCTTTTCACCTGGGCCGTAACATGAACGGTCGCATATATATAAACAAATCAGCAGGATTGGTCGGCACAGACAAAAAATACGATGCATTGCAAGCGTTTATTAGTCACAAGTACAACATTTGCACTAATATAGAGCAATGTTGTATCAAATATACTTTTCCAAAAAGGTAGCAAGGTACATGCGTACACATACCGAAAGCAGAATAAAACTCCGCTGAAAAGGTGTCTATGATTGAAAAGAGTTAAGCACAGTGGTGCTCTTTAAACGCTATCGGCGAACCCTAGCAGGCCGTTTTCGGCATCGTAAGCGGTGTAGTATTTCTGCATGAAGAGTGTGCCCAGCATCATGGTGCTGTCGTCCAGGTGGCTGACGCCAAGGAAGCCCGAGATGCACATCTGCATGTGGTTGGGGAAGAGCAGGTGGAAGGTGTACTCGAGCGGCGACAGCGGCATGGCCCGCCCCTGGACGCTGATGGTGATGCTCGGCAGTTTGTGCAGCGTCCGGCAGTCGAGCGCCACGGCGCCGGCCGCGCCGAACGCCGTGCCGCCGAGCATGGCGTTCACGGCGTCTGCGTTGGTGTTCGACAGCAGGAAGAAGGGCGTGGTGCTGATGGGAGCCACGGAGCAGCCGTCTGGGCACAGACCCAGCTCGGGGCGGCCCTCAAAGGTGACCTGCTCAGCGGTCACCGTCCACTGGCGTTTGGCGGTTGGTAGCAGTTCAGCCCAGGTCAGCGTGCTGCTGAACCGGCGCCCGTTCAGGCCGCCCAGGGTCAGCTCTCCTCCGGCCGGGTCACGGCCCAGCCAGAGACCGAACTGGCGGCCCGGGATGTGACCTTCCGCGGCCAGCACGTCCAGCACAGAGTCGGCCGGACCCAGGCCGACGACGCCGGACTGCGGCAGGTTGTTGTACCAGTCGGACCATACGGACGTGATCTCGCCGAACGTGATGTTGTTGACGGTGATGCCGGCCACGGTGACAGAGTCCTGAGACAGCGCGCCGCTGACGTTCTGTCCGAACGGCAGCTCGAACGGCTTGCCGTTAGCCTGTGGAAGCGAAAGGGAGGTGAGTAACAGAATAACACGTCTGCCCTAACCACGAGGAATTAATCAAAGGGAAAGACGTAAGTAGGCACTGCAATTGGGACAGGAACTAAAGCGAAGCGCTTGCCGGCGCAAGGAGTCATATTACTCGGTCACAAAGCTGAAGTCGTAACAAAAATTATTGGAGACAGCTAAGGGATTTCCGCCTCGAAATTTATGTGAAATGCATCCAGTCGTATGCGAGGAAAGTAAACGGGAAAGTATAGCACAGAAAAGGAAAATTAGCTAGCACTTGGCCGTTCCCGATCGTTGATGTCTGTTCCAGAGACTCACGGAAGACTACTGACGAGTAAGTTCCCTCTGTTCGATACCCAACTAACCTGATAGGTAGACGAGAGTGCAGCGTCGTACTGCGGCCGCGCTGCACACACGGGTGCCGTGCAGTTGGCCGAGACCACGTAAGACACGTCAGAGGTCGTGTCAAAGGTCACTGGCATCATCTGCGGCGGCGTGCCGACCCCTATCGCGCCCACGAACGCCTGGGTGCCCTGTCGGTGATTGGACGATGCGACAAAGTCAGGGGAGCATGAGAGATCACCAGATACTCAGAGTAGAAATGGGAAACAATTAGGTGAAATTTTAACGTAAAAAATAAGGAAGCTCGGAGAGCACCTGCCGCTTACTTTCCTCGTTACTTTACTCATTTACTCATTATTTGATCACTTTTATAAGACCATCGTCCGTCTGCAGCCTTTATAGGTACTGCTAACTGCACTTACCCTGGTTTTGATGTTATCCAGTGGCTGGATCAGCACATTCGTCGTAACAGGTTCGGTAGTCTGCGCCTCCAGCAGCCCCAGGCTTGCCACCACCACCAGAACCCGCAGCATTTTGAATTTTAGCGGCTCTGAAGATAGAGAGATAACGTTATGCTTACATATCTTCATTAACCCTTTATCTCTATTTTCCAGTGCTATCATTGCATACTTATAACAGCAGGGAAACATTTAATAAATATAGTCACGAAAGCATCCGTCTCAGCCCTGCACCGTCACGTGGCTAAGGCGATAAATCTTTATGTCCCCTGCGGGCGTTTTCCGTTATTACCGGCATCTTTTAATTCTCATGCCTATATTTTTAATGCGTTTTAAATGTTTTGTGTCGGGATGATTAAAATGTAATAATGATTTCAGAACATGGATGCCATTTTCTATAGCAGCACTGAACATATGACTGCCTCGAAAATTTCAACAGCTGATTACAGTGCAGCTTTACGTTCTGCACGGAGCACCAAAATTACTTAACTAATTCCACGGAGCGCGTACCACGGTGCAGATTTACCATTCCACTTTATCGCTATACACTTCTCGAGATATGGGATGCGATCCGCACAAAGCACACCTAAACGTAGTATGTGCCAGTGCCTACATATTCGTCTACATACTGATAAAAGCACAGTCGTTAGGTTCAACTCATTGGCCATATTTCGATTCAATAAGCGTTTTGAGGAAATAATCTCTCTTGACCTAATTGCAACGTGTACATATGTATATAATTATATTAGCCGTTTTTACGACGGGCTGTCCGGCGAATGCACCTAAACTGACCGTTTTCACGACGGGCTACCCGGCGAGTGCACCTAATTTGACCAAATCTTCACTTAATCTCTTTTACAGCAAAATATCTGCATTTTATGAATTTATTTCAGTGTTTTAATCGATGATACTCTCTGATAATATGACAAAGCAGGCATATAAGCAATTAGTGCAGCCCTAGCTGATAGCTACTAAGACATACACTGAACCTAATTTGACCAAATCTGCACCTAATCTGCACCAAATGTGCACCAAATGTGTACCAGATAGCCGTCGTGAAAACGACTATTATCAGGGAACTTTTTTACCGTTGCATACCTTGCACCAGACGATTATTCCGTACAGTGAGCAGGACCAGGCGGTCTATGGTCCCCGGATGTCACTCTGGTTCGATCTCGGTCCAATCTGACCTGGGTCCAGCCCGCGGTCCGGTCGATCGGCTCCGTGACGTCGCCCGGCGCTTTGTGACGGATAGACGAGGACTCTGTCGACGACCGGCCGCCGTTATAATGGCGGCGACTGGCCTGACATCTGGTGATGCAAGGCTACCCTTCAACGTCACCCTTCCTTGAATGGGGAACAACATGGAACCGGTGCATCCATTGCATAAGGACTACATTTGTGTGTTACCGCTTCTTTGATTCCAAGAAGAGCGGTCAGCTGCGTGTGATCAGTACTAACGATACAATCAGTGCGATGAGTATATGATAGGTATATCATATGCTCATCGGACCTTGCGCATGAAATAACCAACCATCACATTTAAAAGCAGAGTACATAGGTAGGTAGATTCCATGCTCCCTTCCCCCTCGGCATCATTGAAAACCCTTGCCAAAAGGGTTATAATGAGCCAACAAAGCCGTACCAAATAAGCATCAAGTGCTTCATTGAAGGTAGATACTGTATTTTATTGTGTTGTATCGTTGATTGTATAATCTGAGGCGCCCTTGTAAGTTGTATAATCTGAGGAATTGATTATTGATTTCGAGAAAAAAAAACAGACTGTTGCATAAGGTGTTTTCATTAAAAAAAGACGCCATCATGCTGCCCGATCTGTGATCGATCCGTGTCTTTCATGAAGTGGTAAATATTCTTCTCGATTTCATTGTACTCGATGTTGCTTTTACGATGTGCTGGCCTATATCATGAGGATAACGGATTCATCATGATCATGAAGTTATAACAAGGATGTAAGTATATCGGCAATTTAGCGAGCTCTCAGCCGAGATCCAAGAGAAAACGGGACGCCGGACATGAGGATTGCTGGCTGCCGTATTTGTGAACCTAGTTATCGGGACTACATATGCCATCCGAACGACGCCTGTAAATGGTTGACCGACCGTTATGACATTTAGGAAAATATAATTCAGCGTTTTAAAAAGTATACCTGACACGGTGCAGGGAATAACATTTTACGAATCATTTGTCACCCATTCAGGCGCAGACATCGTGTTTCCGCACCCGAGTTTCACCATATAGCACAGCTGTGGCGGTTTGGCTGCCGTGGTCCGTCCACAACCGGACAGAATCTCCCGGTAAATGTTACCGCTCCGCCGCCTCCGTCCGGGTTCGGGCCGCGGGCCGGTACCATAGACGGAAAACCAACACGGTCACAGCGCGGTACGGTCTCAATTTTTATCGGCCGTGTTCACGGATTAGCCAGTCTTCGTCCTCCAACTTATCGATAACGAACATTGAATCAAATGCCGTATGTGGGAAGTGAATCGAAAAGGGAAAACGATGCAATTGAATACACTCGCACGCAGACACGCGCACTAATATTTTGCTTTAAATGTGGATGTTAGATATATGATACTTAATCTGCTTCCTAATGATAGCTGAGCAAAAACTCAATGCAGCAATGCAAAAATATCGGTTCCTGCATTAGGTAGTTGTCAGTTGATCTGTAGGTGATAGTAGAACTAGGTAAAAGCCTCGGGATCGGGATACTTCCCATAAAAAATTCGTAAACTTCCACGAATTTCCCGGAGTCTGATCTTTAATTCGTGCATATTGAAGAAATAGAAGCCTTTTCCAAAAATTACAAATTTATTTTTTAATTGCGAAAAAACAGCGATCCTCTCAATTTCTGATGTATCTGAGTAACAAATGGCCCAAATATCCCTCCCCGGATCCACCAGTGAGTTTCAGCCGACATGAATCACTATGTCCGTTTCCTGGCAGACGTTCAGCTGTTTCCTTTCAGCCGGTTTCCTTCCTGTTCTGGCTGTCCTGTCCGGTTACCTAGCCAGCATTCACACCGCAATGCAATGACGCATCACAACACGGTGCTCCAAAATAACCCGGTAAACCAAGCAGGCGGATTACACCTCACTGCACTGTCGTCAACCATAATTTACAATGTGACAAAAGCAGCATTGTTCTGTTTTCGCAACAAAGCAGCCCACACCATAATTTTCAATTTTAAGCATGTAGGTTGCAGTCATAGCGTGTACTGTCACAGCTTGGTGATCCTGCTCACACCATGCGCTGGTGCTACTATTGTACTCTTACAGTACAGCCTCTTTGAAAAAGTTATGTGCACTATATTATCCCTCGCCGGCCGAGGGGGGGGGGGGGCGGGTGCCGCCCCCCATAGGTTTTTTTTCGCGATAGCTCCGAACACGCTGGCGATGGAGAGCTGAAACTTGGCATACCTGACCTTTGATTCAAGCCGGATCTTTTGACACCAACCGCATTTTTGGGTCAGGTCAGGTCACTGACCTATGACGTCATAAGTGAACCTCTGCACGGTCTTCAGATGTCGTAACTTCGCAACGCCCTCACTGCCAGAGGAGATGTCACAGGGAAATGAAACTTGCAGGATCTAGTATCCATTATGAGTCTCACAACTCGTATATCTCGGATTTTTCCTAAAGGTCATATGAGGTCAGGTCATTTTCGTGACCTCACCATTATAAGTCAATGGAGAAAAATGGAAACTGCTATTCTGGCGCCGGGAACGATCTCCAACTATCTCAAGCACACAGAATCGTGATTTGATGCACTCCTTGCAAGGTTAGATGCGTCACTTTTGCAATGTTGACCTTGCGTGACGTCATTTATGATGTCATCAAGATCATATTAGTTTTTCGTCAATAACTCTTGATCAAATTGAGCTAGCGAGTCGGGAAAGCCACCAATGGACTCAGGAAGACCTGCCGAATCGAATGATATGCGACATGACCTCTTTCGACCAGCCTCGTGATCTGGGGGTGCTGACCTGACCTTGACCTGAGATCAACACCCTAAGTTGACCTGACTTGAACAAAAAGTATATCATTCGACGCGCCTGTGCGAGGCGAACACGATGCTGCCAAAATCGCGGCGCTGCGGCCGTTTTTTGCGAAGTTATTCACCAAAAACTGAACCGTATCTTGGGGCACTTGACGCGACCTCAGAGGTCACCGGTTGACCTAGGACCTAAAAATTGGGTACCAATCTAGTCTGCGTCTCGTAACGGCACTAACGCTCGTTTTTTTCCGCGACGCGCTAGCTCCACAAGGGGCAAAACGGCGAGGGGGGTCGTACCCCCCTCCCCTCTCGGCCGGCGCTTATGTAGAAAACCAATAGGTGCGGCGAGGGTTATGTGTATTATTGCAGTCTTCATCACCTAGTGCTGCCGTTGTGTGTAATCTTGCAGTCTCCATACCGTGCTGCTACTGTTGTGTGTTTTATTGCAGTCTCCATACCGCCCTGTTACTGTCTTGTGTACCTCCTATCATACACTACGTTTCCATGACACGTCTAAATCGATTTAGCGAAATTTCACGTGCGTTTTTCTAGGAAACTATTTACCGTATGCCAAAAATGAGCTAGATATGGTTTTAGCCAGCACCTAATCCTATATTTACAATTTTAAATTACATATATGCATAGACGTACATAAATGTACGTCAATTTGAGTTGACCAATGTGTGCCATCTTTATAGAAATAGAGCTAATGAGCCATCAAACGCGGTCGTTCTAAATCATTTACATTGTTAGCCGTCAGGTGAATACCAAAAAACACGGTTCCAATGCATTCAGTGTTGAGTTTGAGACATTCGGTTTGTTGATGCCGCAACGGGAAGATTTTCACCCGTTCAGACGCTCGACCCAGGGTGAGCCAAATGTTCTTAATTATAGTTAAGTGCTTTTCCCGGATTAGCTTTCGTTGCCAGCAATCTGCTCAAGCATGACCCTAACTTCATGAGTGGTGTCATTATAATGCTAATTTTGCTTAGCAAGCGAATCCAAAAATAGTACGTTTCACGAAAACGCACGTACAATAATGTACGTCTATGCATATCCGTTACATTTTGTTTCCCAAACATCAAATACGTTTATGCTTTGGTTTGATGGCAAATGTGAGCCTCAACGATGTTCTGGATCAGGGCTGCGGGAGTCGATGGATTTTCAGTGATTCCGACTCCGACTCCGACTCCGGGTAGAACTATCGACTCCGACCGACTCCAACTCCGACTCCCGACTCAGCAGCCCTGCCAGGTCAGCGGAGTCGATGGGTTTGTCGGTGATTCTGACTCCGACTCCGGCTCCGGTTTCCAAAATCGACTCCGACTCCGACTCCGGTCAGAATTGTCGACTCCGACCGACTTCGACTCCGACTCCGACTCCGCAGCCCTGTTCTGGATGGCATCGAGGAGCGAAGTCGAGTCGCCGATGTCACGGTCGTCGTCCTAGAGCCGCCGGAAGTTTGCGTCGACACAAACGAAGACTCTAGCGACGAAGAGAATGCTGACCCAGCCCGCCTGACGTAACTGGTCTGAGCCGTAACTGACGTAACTGAGCCGTAAAGACGTAACTGAGCCCGTAACTGGTCGCACCCACCGGCTCAACCGGTTCGGGATGATTATGGATGCATGTCACTTCCAAAGCAGCACCAATCTTGACCCTGATGATCGGTTTTGCAGCAGAGATCCGGAAGCGCCAGTTCCATGGCACGGGTACCATGTGAGGGAATCGCCTTCTGAAGGTAAACAAGTTCACCGACATCAACGCCTTCAAGAAGAAGTCCAATCAGACCATCGAAGCATTTACGACTGCCAACAACGGCTGCAGTGCGGCTGTTATCCGCTGGATGGACGTGGTCGAGGATCACGAGTTCCAAGAGGCCATCATGCCGTCACTGGGGAAGGAAGAGCCGGCTGACGCCCCTGGACAGACGCACCTCTCCGAGTTCTAAGTCGAGGGCGACCAGTCGCTCTGCTCCGTTGACCATGCCGGCGACTTTACGTCCGGCTGATGGCCGTCTTTAGTCATTACAGCGGGGCCACGCGCTCGGGACAGTGTCTGACGTGTACAGTGTGGGACGGGACAGGTGGTGCCATTACGACGACCGACGCGTCAGCTGCGTGGACGAGGCAGACGTCCTGGGCGAAGGCCCCCAGCGGAACGGCTACATCTTCTGTCTCCTCAAGAAGCTCTGCAGTCAGGTAGTCAGCATGGAGCGCGCCGGGCGCCGGACTGTGACTGCCATGTAGGGGAGCACAGAGTCACCGCGTCGGTGGCCAGCAGCAGAACGCCTCCTGATCGCCATTGACAACGTGCTCTTTTTATAGATCTACTATGTTGACTATTATGTACGTAAGACAAGTTTTCCATAGACGGTAAAAGTTGACATAATTGAGTTGTGTTTTGCAAATTTCCTTATTTTCATCATACATGATCTACATCTATTTCCTAATTAAACGTATGAATTGTAACTACCATTTCCAAGGGTCTCTAATGCAACACAACATATCTAAATCATATTTGACCATACAACACAAGTTATTCCCCTCGCCCAGGTTAACGATGACATGACGTCACCCTACCCCTTCCACAACCCCATCCCCACCCCAACCCATCCCTCATACATCGCTTCTGAAGTACGAAAGACGTTAGCATTGTATTAGGGATATCGGATGTATTATTTTAAGACGGCTGCGGCAGACGTCACAATTGTCTTTTTGACACCTGGCATAGACGTACATTTTTGTACGTCACTTTGAACGAGCATATCAGGCAAGCACTAAATGTAAAAACAAAACAGTTGATGTCAGCAGCTTAGTAACATGTTGTTTAACAATGCTAAAAAGTTTCATACAAATACTCGACAAAAAATTAATTCATGCATATATGGGTTAAATGCTATGATGGAGCAAATCCATTTTTGAAAATCGGCTTAGATTGTGTCATGGAAACGTAGCCGTAGTCACGGTGACTATAAATAGCCGTAGTTACATATCGTGGTGCTACTGTTGTGTGTACTATAGCAGTATCTGTATTGTAGTGTTACTCTTGTGTGTATCGTTACAGTCTCCGTGCCGCTGCACTACACAAGAGTGTACTGCTGCAGTCCCCATACCGTGGTGTTACTGTTGTGTGTACTATTACAGTCTCCATGCGTAGTGTTACCGTTGCCTCTATGCCGTGGTGTTACTGTTGTGTGAATTATTGCAGTCTCCATACCAATTGGTGCTACTTATCAGTGTACTATTGCAGTCTCCATACCAATTGGTGCTACTTATCAGTGTACCATTGCAGTCTCCATACGGCGGTGCCTGTTGTGTGTACTATTGCAGTCTCCATACCGCGGTGTCTGTTGTAGGTATACACTATTGCAGTCTCCAGCCCGTTGCGCCTTTGCTGCATATGCCGTTGCAGTTTTCGTGCCATGTAACTTCTGGTCTGTGTTATAATAGGATCTTCGATAATTCCATCGTGATAACAACGTACCTACGTGTGTTCACCTCAACGATACGTCGTGCGATCAAACCACGATGGATACCGCTTTATGCTGCTTAAGAACAACTACGTATCTGTGTAGGAGTAAATCAACGTTGCTATGCCGGATCTATTGCACCTCAGCTACCACTAAAAGAAGAAGAAAAAACGCCAATTAAACAGCCACGTTACTGTCAGTGTACGTTTATTGAGGGTCGGACACACCTCAACTCCAGAAGCTTTACAACAGCGACCTCGGATATCTGAATAACGGAAACACGCCAACGACAGCACCGTGCGCGGCCTGAATCTTACACCACGGAACGGCGAGCTGGCACGTCCCTTTGAGTTATAATAACTCACAGCACCCAGTCCAGCGCACACTCACAAGCGCTCAACAATATTGCACACGGTAAACAACAACGTCCAGTACAGTCACTCGTCAGCGCTCAATAATATTGTAAATACACACGGCACCCAAGCAACCACACTTAACCCAGCAGTCACCCGTCAACAATCAACAATATTGCACACAATCAGGCGGTTGCACGATGACGCGAGCCTCTTCAGTTCCAACTCCTCTGCATCTCGAAAATATCGCAGCATGTAACAGTTAGCGACATCGACATTGGGGCTAGCCGCCAGTGACAACGTAATGGCCACGCTTCAATAGCGACACACAGCTCAGAAAGCTCCCGACGAGTCACAGCTACACGTTTTAGCACAGTGTCGCTTAACGGTAAGCCCGGACAAATCACGGTTACAATAACATCGAAGTGATGCACTCAGCTTACTAGCTACTCCAACGACAAAAACGCAAAGTGCATGTGGCAGGCAGCTCCGTTTTGATATTCACCGCCCGTTTTAGGAAATTACGAGTATATGGTGCTAGTATGGGGGGCAGTTGAAATGCCGGACGATCAAGCTGGTAGATCTGTCAGAGAAGGACGGACACAAGTGTAGGTACACCGTAGCAGCAGCCAACACGCCATAGCAGCCGCCGGCACTACGATATAACGTCCCACAAAACACTGACAGTTTCTTGGACACTCCGTAAACAAAACTTTGACACCCAAATGTGTGCACCACTTTGTCTGTCCATTGTCTTCACTTTCAAGCTCGAGCTGGTCCCGTTACGATCTCAGTATCTTTTGTCACCAAGTCTTTATCAGCAAAAATGCTGAGTCGCACCCGAAAAGCGCAAATCCACTTAAGCAGGAACAACCCACCCGGAACATCATTGTTTCCTTATGTTCCTTATGTACTAATGTCAATCGCTCGTCCATGTGGTCGAGCTGGTGTCACTCTCCTTCAGTAGGGAAAGCACCGTCACCATTGTCCTTCAGGGGGTTGGGTGTAGCATCGCTCCTCTCTCCTCGAAGGGATTGGATGCAGGACTGCCAACATTCTCTCCTCGGACGTATGTGCTGTAGGACGCCTCCCGCCTTTTGCCGGAAGCGGAGATATGTACAGCGCCACCCTATCTCCATTTGATAGGAAGCAACGTCATTCTTCTCCTTCAGGGTGACACTCTTGCAGCATCGTCCCTCTCTTCTCTCCCCGCCGGCCCGCCCGGCTAAATCAACAGTCGTCAGGCTTCCAGACGGCGCAGGTGGGGCTCCACCTCACTGGGAGGCAGGTGCAGGGCAAACTCGAGCGCCACCAGCACGCTGAATTCGCAGGTGATCAGGTCGCGACGGTTGATGCGGAACACAGTCTCCGTTCTCTGGAAATGGAGGGGTGACTGTCAGTGAAGTGGAACAGACACGCCGCACACACAGACAGTGCCTCTGGATGGCTGAGCTAGTGTAAACAACGCATGAGAACCGCCGTTGCCTCATTCCATTGTACCAGCAGCGGTCGGGAGGACTTACATGGTTGACCTCGCTCACCACTGTCGTTGCAAAAAAAAAAAACAATTTTGAAGGGATAATGGATACACTTATCTAAATAGTGTGTTATCTAAATCTCTCAACGCCGACTAAGCTTATTTTTGATTGTGTAGCGGCAAACAATTTATCGATTTGATTTCAATCGTTCCATTACCCGGTAGCCCAAACATACATTCAAACATTTTTTATTTCACGTTTTTATTTTTATTTTCATCCACGTCTTTATTTCATTCGTAGGAGGGGCTACGTTCTAAACATTTCCTTCAGCCCCTGTCTCTCTAGTCTCTACCATTATCAGTCTCACCTCTACGAGCTGGCTCATCGACTCGCCCTTGACATCGTTCATCTTAGCCGAGAGAAGGAGGCAAGCGCCGGCCACCAGTTTGCGGTTGGCCTTGTCGATCAGACCGCGCAGCACCAGCTTCTCGAAGTAGACGTGCGCCTGGGCCACGCTCAGGGAGTCGATGTGGCACTCACTGGCGATCCGGCGCAGGTCGCGCTTCAGGCTGCGGGCGAAACGGGGTCATATGGAGCTAAGGTCAGAGCGTACGGGAGAACTGAGATAGGAGAGCTCGGATCAGTCAGTGCGGGACCAAATGGGGCCTGTTCACGGGCACACGGGGGAACCGCGGTGATATTAAAGCTGACCGAGTGACAGTGTCACAAAATTATATTAATGCTTGGGTGTTAGAGGGGAAAATTCCTCTCCAAAAAAAGGATGAGGGTGGTATATTCTTGATAACATTAGCCCCCCCCCCCCGAAAATAAAGAACAGAAGAAGAAAACATTGCACACTTTTCTGTACAATGGTAGAATCTGATGCGATCATGCAAGCAGATGCTCTTTCATGAGTGGTAAATTGCTCTTGAAAGTTGAAGGTGGGAGTTGAAATTTTTTTTATTTGAATGTCTTGTTCCACCCAAATTGACAAATTTTGGGACACTGCCGAGTGATCCTCCGATTGTAGATATCTTACGACCCGGATCAGCATCCCCACGTAAACCTGCTACCCGCACTGACAGCATTGCACTCCTCTTCCCAACGCATCACATGGAATTCCAGCCATCCGATTGTCCTCCCCCCCCCCCCCCCCGACCCATTGCCACACAGCTTACCTGCGCAGTTTGGAGAGAGTGAGCTGAATGTGCGGAAACTGCTCTCGGAACTGCTCATTGGTCACCCTCTTCAGCTCCGACGGCTTCATGTAGTCAATGATGGACGACTGTGAGGAGCAGAGGGAATATGTTCAGGGCACGTCACATTTCATCACTCTAGGGGCGGGGACACTTTCATTGTACCACTTGGGGGATGGCACAAGGGATGTCTCATCACATGATTGAAGAGCAACATAAGATATTGAAGTAAGGGAATGTCATTCCCTGACTAAGTTCGGTGTCTTATCAAATCACTGGGTGAGCGACACCAAACAGGTGGCGTCTCATTGCATCACTGGAGACACTGTGGTGTATATCTCATATGGACCCACTGAATACATCATTGAATATCAGATAATCACACATCCCGACCACAATGGCCTCAACAGCCTGAGCCCGTCCCGGCGTCTCTCTGCGCCCGGCGGCGACTGACCCGGTAGGAGCGGAAGGTCAGCACGGTGCGGTGGTTCTCCGACTGGGTCTCCGGGTTATCCAGTAGCAGAGGGTCGTACGGAATCGCCTGCGACTCGCCAGGCGGCTCCTCCTCCAGAACTGGAGGAAACACGCAGATATGGACAGACGTTAGAACAGCGATAGGTGTCGACATACGGACAGACAGCGAACGAGAGTGTCACGCCACCGTAAGGACGCACAGCCCATCCACCAAAAGGAACCGTACTGGGAAGATTCTATGATGGCCATTGACCACTCTAGCCAGCACTCAACTGTTCAAAACTACCGCTAATATGTTATTAATCGTCACAATATGAATTCCCCGAACTTTTTTCGGGTCCAATGTGTCTCACGGACTACCTGTCTCTGTCTCCCCAATCCGTCTCCTTCGCCTACCAACTACCCGTCTCTGATCGGTCTCCTCGACCACTACCCCATCTCCTAACCTTTGTCTCCCCTGTCGGCGGACGTCCAGGGCGCTGTGGCGGCCGGCCGCGCGGTCCCGCTCGGGTCGTGGGACACACAGCGGTTGAGCACGTGCAGGGCGGTGTTCCTCTGGTGGACGGCGGCGGCGGCCTCCAGCTCGTTCTCCACAGAGTGAAGCCGGCGCGGCGGACGGAAAGCAGCGGAGGAGGGCTGCAGCAGCTGGCTGTATGACACTTCCTGTCAGAGACAAAAAAAAGAGGACAAGGATTTAAAAGCAGGTGAATACCGAACAGATTCCTAGTAACAGGTATCGCAACCTACTACAGCAAAATACACTACAACACTTATAACTCCTGAAGAGTTCCACCCGTTCCACTCGTCTCTCCTGTCCCTCCTGGAGCGTCCCCCCTGCCCCCCTGAAGCGGCTCCTGTCCCTTCAGTCCCACCTGTCCCTCCTGAAGCGGCCCCAGTCCCTCCTGTAGCGTCCCTGCCCCACCTGTCCCTCCTGCAGCGGCTCCAGTCCCAGCAGACAGAAGGCGTCCACTCGGTCAGCGATGGTGGTCAGCGGCGCGCGGCTGCCGGAGTTGTACCGACGCCGCGAGCTGTGGTCAGACCGCTCGTGTCTCTCCCGTCTGCCGGTGCGCGCCGCGCGGCCCGGCGGCAGCAGCGAGTGCACGAGCAGGGGCAGCCGGGCGGCCGAGACGAGCACCAGTCGCTCGTCGGCCATCGGGCACCGGTCGCGCACCGAGTGGACGAACCGCACGGCCGGCGCCGACACCTCCGAGACGCTGCTGCACAGTTTGTGACTCCGCACTGCGGGCACAGCGAGGACAGCGTGAGAGTCAGGCAGGAGCGCGGGGTGGTGGTAGATAAAGTCGCAATGGCAGCACACAAATACAGGTCCCCAAACCTTCAAAACTCCAATTTATCAACAAAAAAGATGTCAGATCAGATTAATGTTGAAAAGATGTTGGAGTATAAATATTTTGGATAGATTCCAGCAAGAATGTCCATTTACCAATTAAAGCAGGTGAGGGAATGTGTGAAGATACACCAATCATTCGGTGACACAACGTCGAGTAAAGTGACTAACATGTACAGTGACGAAGACTACAAGTCCCAACCATGAATAAAATACCAAATTCAGCCGAAGGCCGACAGCGCAGTGCACAAGGGCGCGACATTGCGCATTAGCTTGGCCTCATGGCGCACAGAATCTACCTCACCGATTTGAAGGGAAATTGTTTAGGTGTGCTGAGAGAACAGACTTACGACGCAGTGTATCGGAAGAACACGGCAGTGACATCGGAACCAGCTTATTGTGAATGCACGCACTACTTCGGACGCAGTGACATTTACACAGCAGCAGCCGTGGATGGCCCAAATGGGGAAGCCCTCTAACACGGCCACAGACACCGCCTTACGGGGCGGCGGAGGGGGCGACGGGCCACAGCAGCAGCCGTAGTGCGCGCCCGCGTCGGATGGCCCGTCACCGCAGCCTGCCTCAGCTGGCAGCGTACGGGTGCACCCGCCACTCTCTGAAGGCGAGACGCCGTCTAGCCTGAGACTCCACGGGGGAGGGAGCGCCAGAAACGGGCAAACGAGGGTGGCAGGAAGGGGAACAGTCTTATTTGAACTATGAACAAGAGTTCCGCTGTCATATCTTTATTTTTCGGCACCATGAAATTTAAGGGCCCACAGCTTCCGGTGAAAAGTCGGCACTAAAAGCTCATTCTCCCTTCCATTTCCGAATGAGCGCCGGCCAGGCCCGCCTCACTATCAGCTAGCCTTGCCTGCCACCATGCCCACGGCTAGGTACGACCCCCGTCAGTCAGACGGTCACGTGCTCCCCTACACTCACCGCTGCCGCAGACGCTCTCGCAGCTGCTGCTGGCGTGGCCGCCTCGCATGTCGTCCAGCAGACTGCCAATATTGGTCTGGTGGACCAACCGCTTCAGAATGCCGTCCGAATCGCCGCCCACCGTCAGACACCTGGGATGAAGACGGTATCGGTTAGGGCCGGGGCCAATATCGCCGGTGACACAAGATACAAACTCATACAACTCGATACGATAATGTTTTGAAGAGACATAATTCAAGATACATGGATAAACCACCAAATGTGTCACCATGAATATCTATCGCTTTTCCGTGCAAATACAGTCGTGTAATGCGTATCGATTAGTGCCCCGGCTGCAGCGGACCCACCTCTCCCGATGTGTGACGGCGGCTGCCTCGGCGGCACGCGTCGTCTCGCCGTTACAGCTCGAGTCGACACTCTTCTGTCGGCGGAGACGGCCGAGCACGGGCGGCGGGCGGGCCGCTCCGGCCCCCACCGGCGCCACCGTCTCCGCCGCGGCGACCGGTGCCGACGGGCCCCCGGACCCGTCCACAGCATCAACCGGGGCCGGGACCTCGGCGGCCTCTGAGCCCACTGCCGGTACCGCCGCGGTGACGGTGACGGCGGCGCTGGGCGCGTCCACGACGTCACCAGAGTCGGCGGCGGGCGCCGGCGCCACGCGCCGCTGGTTCAGGCCGCTGATCTTGGTGTCTCGGTACGTGCCGTCCAGGGAGATGTTGGAGAGGAAGGCGAGCGCGGCCAGTCGGCGCCGCGAGCGGTGGCGGACCGCGCGGGTCGGCGGCGTCATGGTCTGTGTTCTGCAGGCAGGGTGATACAGAAACTGAATTAGTTTGGGATGGTACTTGAGTGGGTACCTATCTGGTAATGAGTGACCATGTGAGCAACATAACATTGGGCAATTTCAGGAATCAGGAAGAACCAGGACTATTTCCACTTAGGGATTTTGCAAATATGTTAGCACCTGATCTTAGGCATCTCAGTTAGCCTTGTTGACTTTTAATTTGGAGCACACTAGACAAAATTTACGTCCTGCCTTACTCTCAACTGTTATAAATAATGTGGTGCTCAATTAGCATTTTCGGTGGCCCTATGGAGAGAAAGGTGGCTGATTGAATGATCATTGATGAAAGTTGGGTAATATATTGGCAGATAACTATTTTCCAGTGATTTTAATTCTAGAAAATGATAGACAAAAAAACAATTCCATTAATTGATAATTATTGTTAAGAGTCTGAAATACATGCATCAAAACAAGTCAAGACAACAGTAATCTTGATTTTATTTCAAAGCACAGGAAATTATTATAAAATGACTACCTATAATAACAGGTCTTACAATACCTACTACCTACCTACTAGTACATTGGTTGGGCTGTGGGAGTTGCAATGTAAAATAGACACAATTATAAATTTGTTTTGGGAACTAATATTTGATAATCCTTCTCTTTACATAGAGCAAGCAGTGTGAATATTTTATCATCATGCTTGAGTGAAAATATATTGTCATTTACTATCTTGCACAATAAGTTCAGAGCCTTTTACTGTAATGCAGTTATCAGCAGTTGATAAGTTATGCTGTATCTTGTCAGAAATCAGCACTGGTAGATCCAAGGGGGACATTTCAGGCAAATCCCTCCCCCTTGCAGCATCTGAAATATATTATTTTTTAAATAGATAAAAAACATAACTATAATGAAGAAAATTATGTTTTAGACTGCACGACAGTACATATGGAATCAAACTCTAATGAGTTTTTGGAATATGCGGAATTTTCGGTATTAGTAAGCCTGGCATATCCCAGGAAGATGCCAGATTGGAATGACGGAGATACCTAGACCAAAATAAACCTAACCTGACCTAATCTAACCTACAACCTACAAACCTACAACCTACCCTACAACAGTAGGTACCTATCTGGCATCTTCCTGGGACACCAGGCTTACAATAATACAGAGTTTTTTTTAGGGAGGATGCCCACCCCTCTGCAGCATCCAAGACCACATTTCTAGACCTGTTAGTGTATATCAACTGAACTGAAAATCATGAGCCATTTCAGGCTATGACAATAATTCAAATTTGTCACATCAACATGATTTCAATTTGAAACTGAAGTGGCCTTGAATGGCCAATTTGAAAATGCTGATGCACTATCACTATCTTTATTCGTGCAAATACCTCTTTACAGAAAGAAGAAAAGGTGACTCGAGATGTTAGGTCTCGATGGCCGGAGCGCCGCCGCCGAGGCCTTGGACGAATGGTAAGGTAAGATGAATAATAAATAAATTCTGAAAAAAACGTCTTTCCATTCACCAATCTGCAATCAAAGGCAAATTAAAGGTCACGTTTGTAACTGTCGCGCTAGTTTTGTAAGAATTATTTGCTACCATATTATCAATAGAAAGGACCAGTTAGATAATTCCCCTGTCATTGCGGAAAATTTCTCTCCTATTCATCTGCCCGGATTTCCACGTTATTATTTACCTCGGTTAGGTACATTATACTATCATTTTCACCATTTGCTAGGCGTTCCATCTCGAAATGTTGGCGTCAGAAAAAAATAATGCATTTCGAAGTTCTGAGGCTAGGTCATTCAAACTATGATTCAAACGCATTCAACTGTCCTACCCCATCAATTTATTCACCATTCAACACCAGTTCCATAATCCATAGCCTATGGACACTGAGCACTCTGAGCACTTCAACGATTCATCAAGGACGAGTTTCCCTACGCAAAACAAAGTTTGCGTAACAACTATCTACTTTAACCCGCGCGGGGCTGGGGTCTCCAGCCGAACGCGCGGGGCTGGGGGGGGGGGGGTAAATTTTACCCCCCCTGTTATCTCCCGAACTGATGGTCCGATTTGGAAAATTCAAACGCCAATCGAAAGCTCTCATCACGAACTACTAAAAACATGTACTTAATTTAAAGTTTGAGGTCAAGGTCAAGGTCAGGTCAAGGGTACAAATTGCAAGTTTCTACAGTATCGGCCTTGCACCGTAGTTGCCGAAGAATGGAGTCATGGACTGAGACTGATCGCCCAAAACGTGTTCTTAGGCTACCAAGACAATATTCGTTGCATACAATATCATTCAGAGGTCAAGGTCAAGGTCAGGTCAGGTCAGGTCAGGTCACCAAAAAACAAAATATAGAAAAGGGCATGTGCGACACATGTTTTATGGGTCATTTTACTCATAGAATTCAATAGGCACACTCAATAAGTGATATGGACCACCTCTGGATGAATTTCAGGTCGAGGTCAGGTCAAGGTCAGGTCAAGTGAGGTCAAATTTTGAAGTTGGTTGTTAAGGCCTAAAAAGGTGTCTATCTGATGCAGTTTTTCACGGGGAATCGAATGGTGCTATTTTTGTTTCTGTACGAGGTCTAGAACTTCCAAAAAAGTCATTTTTCAAAAATTTTGTGTGTCGTGACGTCATAAAATTTTGAATAACTCCCACATTTTTGAACCGATTCTTCTAAAATTTGGTATGTAGGTGCACATAGACCCCTTCTCTGACATATATTCCGGTTTTTTCGATAGACTCAAAATTTTGGATTTTATAATGATTTTCCCAAAAAAGTCAGTTTTTTGAAAAAATTTAGGCCAAAATCCAAAATTTTCAAAAAACCGAGATAGCCATTTGATAGACAAAGTAAAATTACGTATAACCTTTTTTGTTACGTCTTGATTCCTTTAAAAATGAAGATGTTAGCGGCGTTTGAACTTTTGCCGTTTTTGAGGCGAAAATGGCGAACATGACGTCACTAAAACGTCAATTTCTCAAAAATTTTCCGACGGATTTCGCTCAAATTTTCAGGGAACGTGTCAAATTGATGTAAGAAAAGGTACTGAAAATTTGGCGGCGCTGCGCGCCGCCGTTTTTGAGATATCGCAAAAATTCGCGAGGGGGGGTAAAATTTACCCCCCCCCAGCCCCGCGCGGGTTAAACTTCGAATAATACGTTGGGTAAGCAACCAGATCCACAAGACAGTCAAGTGCGAACACTATTGTAGGTGGCGCTGCATGTGTATCAAGTGGCGCCACCATCGGTCAGGGACACAGGCCGGTACGTTGGCGAGTACCACGCAGCTCTGGCCCTGCAGACAGGTAAGGTCAGCACAGCTGATCAACTTCGCTCCCGAGTGGACTCCCTCAGTTTCCGGATCCGGGACATGCCCTGCTGGCGAGACGTAGCCCGCATGAGAATCAGCTCGCACGTCCGTCGGAACGCTCGAGTGCCCGTTACCGCCGATCGGACCATCCACACCGCCGTGGGTCGCATCACCGGTACTTTTCTTTCTCAGTCCTGTTTTCCCCGTTTCCAGTTCGTTGTCTTTTGTGACAAATTCAACTGAGCCGCCATCAACTGACCCAGGAGGGATGCCTCCTCGGCCTTCAGCCTCCTCTCTATATCGGTCATCTGTGTCCCTGGCTGATGGGGACGGGTAGCCAGTCGAGGTCCGATCTCCCTCCTCCGTCTCACCACCACCACCTAGTTCCTCAGTTCCCCCACAGATGGCAGCACCGTCGACCACACGGCACGTCTGCTGCGGTCCGCACTGGATCTCCAGACAGGAGGCAGGCTGACAGGAGGGTACGATGTCGCGCGTGTTACACACCTGGCCCGGACGGCAGCCGGTCAGCTCACAGCTCGCCGGCAGGCAGGTCGGGCCCCAGTAGGTAGTAATGCAGACCTCCGTGTCACCACACTGCACACCGCCGCACGTACACGATGGTCCGGACGCGGTCAGCTCGCATGTTGCATCGAAGTCGCATTCGACATCACGGCAAGTTTTAGGGATGCATGTGGGAGAGCCACCCTCAAGCTGACATTTTTCGCTTGGAGAGCATTCAAAGTCGTCGCAGGTTTTCACAACACATGTCACGATGCCTCCATCCGCTTCGCATTTTTCAGTTGCTTCACATTTTATATCCTCGCAGGTTTTAAGATTGCACGTAGGAACACCAACATCAATGTCACATTTCTCGTGTGGTTGACACTCTATATCGGCACAGGTCAGGTTATGACACCCAGGAACCCCATCAATGACCTGACATTTCTCCAGGTCATCGCAGTCGAAGTCGTAACAGGTCAGCGGGCGGCACTCGGGCACGACCGTGGTCAGGTCACAGGCCTCGTTTTCCCCACAGCCCGTATCCTCGCAGGATCTCGGTATACACCTCAGTCCGTCGTAAGTCTGCTGACAATGCTCGCTCTCGTCACAGACGATATCCTCACAAGTTTTGGTCTGACAAGAAGGCACTCCTTCGTTAATTTTGCAGACTTCCTCGTCGCCACAACTGATATCGGCACAAGTGAGTCGTCGGCAGACGGGTCCAGATTCAGTCAGCTCGCATTTCTCCCTGGCCTGGCACTCAACGTCTTCACACGTCTTCTTCACACAACCGGGTGAGCCTCCGTCCATCAGACATTTCTCATTTGTTTCACAGTTCATGTCACCACAAGTGAGGCTTCGGCAGACGGGATCCGACTCTTCCATCTCACACTTTTCATTCTCATCACATTCAATGTCATCACATGTTTTCGTTTTACAGATGGGACCAGATTCTTCAACTTCGCATTTCTCTGTTGGTTGGCATCCCATATCATCACACGTTCTGACCTCACATACAGGTCCATTCTCCCTCATCTGACACTTTTCCGCCGTCCCACACTCCTTCTCCTCACAGATCATTCTCTCACACACATACAGCGTGCGACAGGGCGGCAGGTAGCCGTCCAGCTCCGGCGGTGCGTTCTCACAGTCTGAGGTAGCCACACACCGGTGTCCGTCAGGGCAGTTCAGCTCGTCACAGGAGCTGACTGTGTGGCAGACGGGCAGCTGCAGCGGTGGGATGTACCGATCGGACGCAGACTCGTCTGTCTCCAGCCGGCACTGCTCGCTCCGACCGCAGCGGACCGACTCGCAGGAAGGAGTTGGTACACAGACGGCCCGCGGCGCGCACGGCGGGAGGTAGGTGTCAGGGGTTGGTAGAGAAGAGGGGTCAGCCGGCGGGCCAGCTCTGCAGTCCACCAGCAGTCGACACTCCTCCCCAGGGCCGCAGGTCTCGGCGCCACATGCTGGAGAGGGAGAGACAGAGGTGTGTCCGCGTCAGGTTTGACAGTGTCGTGCAGTCAGGACGAGAACGATACAGCTTGAACAAAAAGCAGTACGCAAACTTTTCGAAATATGATTGAAACACTGGAGCCAAACAATTTTTGACAAAGAAACAGGCGAACTATACCTACACGTAAGGAGCTGAAAGTAAGCACTACGCGGCAACCTCTCTATTCTCAACTCTCAAATCACTCACATGTTGGCAGACTGAGAGTCGCGCCCCGGCCAGCTTTAGCCGCCAGTAGAGCCACCAGCAGTAGAAGCGGCGCCATGGCACCTGGCCTGACACAGCAGCCTCTGAGCTTCCTTATTCTGCCACTGCTTATATCCTCAGCCGGCGAAGGTCCACGCGATTTTTACCAGATCGTCCGCTGAGGTCACGTGATTCGGCAGCTGCTCACGACGTCGAGTTAAGTGACCGGAGACGAAGGAACCTTGGAAAGGCGAGGCATGGGGATGACGGCGAGAGCCGTGACGCCTTTGCAACACTGTGACAATGTCGATGATCACCACTTTTTCCCTCATTTCCCACGTCCGCTCCCCTGTCTATCTCTTTCCTCCTCTATTTTCTCTCTTTCTCTCTTTCCATCAATTTAGGAGGAAGAAAGACCTTTAGCTCTCTTTTTGTCTTCACCAGACGAGACTGAACAGCTCCGTAGCGCCCAATATAATTACCGCGATCCCGTACCCAGTGTCCTCCAAAGTCCCAACCATTTTTCACTGTCCCCCTCAGTACCTCCGTGATGTCCCTGCAGCAGCGGCGCCGTGAAGGTTACCGTGGGCCACCCACCAATTTACCACCCGCCGGCGTGCGTAATGCTCACTGCGTCTGGTGGTCATTTTCCCCCACGCGTCTGGTAAAAATATGCCTGAGAGCGCACCCGACGCCTCGCTCGGTAATTCACAGGCCGAGTTTTACCGCAGCGTTCACGCAAACCGCCTCTCCGGTCTTGTTTGCTTCCCAGAAGCGCAGACGAATAGAACGACCGATATAATTTGTATAAAACACTGTGCAATTGTACAACAGACACTGGCAGTTGAAATCCAGCGATCATGATAGGCTTATTGTGACGACATAGTTCCGACTCCAGCAAGGATTGTCCACCTTGTAAAATGAAACAACGCGCAGCAATATTATTTAGCATGTCCCACAAAATGTTGCAATGTTTAGCAATTCCGTTTAAAAGCTGTTTGGAATTATACAAGGGTGTCGCATCGTATCGAATATTCGCGCCTATAAACAATACAAGACTAGCTCAAAGCAGCCAGTAACGCTAATGTTACTTGATGTCACTTATAGGCGCAGGAAATGTCCTGTGCGAAAATTGAGTAACATGGCAGGGTAAACTTCATGATCTGGATAAGCTTGTTCAAAATCGAGCGACAGCAAGCCTTCTCGATCGAAGAGCATTGAAAATAAAACAGCACTGATACATAATACAACGTGAAACAGTCGATTGTCGAGGTCCCAATCTACGATATCAATTTCAATTGTTCATCAGGTCCCCGCTAAATATATATAACACGGCAATGAATATATCACGGTTTACGACTTAATATGACGCATACTGTGAACTAAAGCTAATACAAATCAGAACAAATGATAAATATGGCACAACACGCACACACCTATATCAATACACAAACAAACACGATAAATAATACTTTGATCAATGGCGGGACTGGCCGGCCTCAAACCCAGCGCTGCGCTCATAGACATGACAGACAAACCATCCCACAGGGCAGTCGGCTAGTATAGCCAATATTTATGGGGACGTAACTATTGGTCCCCCGTTCATGGAATTAAATTAAATATCATGTAATCACAATACACATTGTGAATATCAGCTAACGACACTCAATCCTCGGCTAACAAGTCTGCACGTGAGCTAAAACGTCATGATCATTGATCAAGTATTATCCCTGCCGCACCCCAGTAGGAGCACGGACAGCATTCTATCATTGTCGACCACTATATCACCACTCACCAGACACTGAGCAGTTGAACGACCTCGTCCCTTCTATCACTTTTCAGCTGGTACGATGAGTCTCGCGGGCACAGTTTGCGTGTTGGGCTCTCAGGCCAAGTTCTTGGCAATAGCACACGTCGTCAAAGTCTAGTCAGTCAGTCAGTCAGTCTAGTCAGTCTAGTCGGCTAGTCAAAGCCACGCCGGCAATAACCGACCACACCGTCACCCACGCTTTATCTACGTGGCAGGAGAGTTTCGGCAGTGGCTCCACATCGCCCCGAAACAGTGCCGAGCCACACCGCGAGCGACGGTAGGAGTCCCTCTCAGCTACACAGGGGCGGTAGGAGTCCCTCTCAGCTACACAGGGGCGGTAGGAGTCCCTCTCAGCTACACAGGGGCGGTAGGAGTCCCTCTCGGCCACACAGCAGCGGCGGGCCGCCCGCGTCGGCAGACGACTGGAAGAACTAGAACTTGGTGTACGCCTCGTGGGTGTTGCCCGTCCCCGAGGTAGAGGACCTGATTGGCAGCTCAGAGGCATCGGGCCGGGATCTGCGGGGAGGGATGGCGACACGGTCAGCCAGCATGTATAAGTGGACCAGCGAAGTAACACAAGGCCAAAGAGGTGAACATCCTGATAGTGATTCTCATTGTGTTACCAACACCAAGTACCCACCATAAGAGCAATCTAGCAGTAAAATTTCCAGCCAGTTCTCTACCCCCCAAAAAAAGAGCCCTCGCGGGGATGGGGATCCCAGCACCATTCCAGACAGCCGCGACAGTCACTGCCTGCCCGGTCAGTGTTTTGTGGGTGGGAGGGGGAGGCGAGCTCGGCAGGGGAGATACTCACCTAGCTAATGAGCTCCGTTGGAGTCAAGAGCGGCGGCCCGCCGTCTATTGTCGAATACGGACTGCTGTCACTGCAAGAAGCGTCCCCTCAGCGCGGCACGGAACGGCACAACACGACACGGCGCATCACGGTACGGCACGGTACGGTACGTTACGACACAGTTGTAACATGGTAGAGCTTTGTGTGCAGCAAGCGGACGGCGAACAAGACGGCAGAACAACAGAGAGCCAAGTACCAACGAGAGCGAGACAATAGCACAATGTATGGGACATCTACGATACTGTTGTATTTTACAATGTCCTCGAAGCAGCTTTGCCGAGGAAAGCGCGTGTTGATGAGATCAAGTGCAAGACTTCTCCGAATTCAGCTAAGATAAAAAATGAAAAAAACAAGCGAGACATCACTTGAAAGCCCCCACATGACGAGCCATTGTGTCAAGTCGGTAGCATCCGATACACGACAGTATGAGACAAATTGCCCACTGAGCTACACCACAGGTAAATATAGGTACGCCAGTAAAGGCACGCCCGGTACATCACGGTACAAACGGTACTTACCGGTACAGACAGTAGTGCTGGCATATGAAGAGAATGTCGAACAGCACTGAGAACAGGCCCAGACCGAACTTGGTCGGGTTGCCGAATATCGACGACCAGTCGTCTGTCGAAGGTAAGCATGTACGGTTAGACGGCTAGAAAGAGCAGTGAATGAGGATCAGACGCAGTGGAAAGAGGGGAAAAGTTACGTTGAATCGATGGAGAAAGTACATGTGTAAAAAAAATCTCAACTCTCAGGTCAAACCCTGGATAGCTGAACAGTGAACACAAGCCCAAAATTACGTTTGTGCTACAAATGTTCGTATGCCTGTAATTTCCAGCCTCCGGGCTCATGACCTGGGAGGACCCATGTCGAGCGGTACGTACTGTAGTTGTAGGCGTCGATGAACATCTGCAGAATGCTGAGCGAGCCGCCGGTGAAGTCGAGTAGCACATTACCGATCGCCCAGCCCTCTGTGCTGCGGCGCTGATAGTTGTGGTACGCCTGCCGACCGACAGATGGCAGGCCAGGTCAGCTATTGAACGAACCGGCCAGTGCAGCCGCAGATAGGGAGACCATAGGTTTTATCTAAAGCTAAGTGCGCAATAACGGTTGTTAACTCAGGCCTCGGTAGCTTAGGTAAACTTCCAAATTATGAACAAGCCCAGTAACGTGCGACACGACACCTGTCCGTGCTTCTATCCTCAGGATACTGAAATCCTTCTCCTCCACGCCACAGCCCCCTTCCGGGCTGGGCAGGCAACTTTATCTCATGCGGGCTGCTCCCTTGGAGCGGCACCGCTGCTCCCGAGGGAGCGCACCCCGTAGCCGGGTGCAGTGAGTGCCTTGGGGCTGGGTGGCCTGTCTTCTGGACGGGCTCAGCCCCAGCGACTCGCTAGGGTGCCTGCCCAGACCAATGTCTCCCCCTAATTCCTATCATCCTTCCGGCTCTGCAATGGTCTTGTCGACCGAAAGGGCCTAACCCAACAAAACAAACAAACAATGCGACACGAAAATGAGAAGAAAAACGGCGAGGAAAAACAAAACAAAACCACAGCTGCATTTCGACCCTCCCTATATGAAAGTACCACAACAATCACTGACAATCATCTGCCGGTTCAGCTGACCTGCGGCACATATTTGACGATGGTGATGGCCAGCTTGACGTAGGAGAAGACGTAGAGGAACCAGAGCCAGTTGACCACGCCGCAGCCGGCAACGATGGCCGTGATGATGATGACCAGCGCAAAGACGACCAGCAGGCCGCGAGCCGCCAGCGAGACCGTCTGGCCACCGCGCTGGGGACGGAGAGAGGCAGGGGAGGGGAGGTCAGTCGGGGAGGGAGGAAACGCGGCACGACTAAGGCACGTTAGAGCGGGTGAGTCAATAGTCACACTAGTAAACACCCAAACCCTGGAATAGGACTTCTTTCAAAAACGATGCAGTAAATGCAGTAGTGAGGTCTTCAGTCCAGCAAACCTCTAGTGAAGCAGCCGATCCCTTGTTAGTTATTTTTTAGGAACATAGGACCCTCCTTCAGTATACTCAAGGAAAATGGGCTGGTCTGCCGAGCTCACCTCATAAATGAAGCACTGCAGTACGGTGACGATACAGGCGAACAGCGCGTGCAGTGCGAACACCACGTCATTGACCGCCACCGGGACCAGGCCGTAGGGGTGGTCGGCAAAGTACATGTCCTGCGGGACGGAGGCCAGGGTCACCACGGTTATCACGGCGTGCTGGGGACCTCACACAGAGCTCATAGCGGACAACGGTCACACCAAAAGGTCTCGGACTGCAGAACTAATCAGAACACAAACAGTACCTAGTTGCAAAGACTGGATGAAGCCATTAGTTTATAATAAATCACGACATGGGAAGGATAGACAAATATATTCGCAGATTTAAATCACAGCTCACCGAATTGAGTCATGAAATTTACCAATCAGGGTCAAACATTACGCCGACAATAGCCGCTCTCGATTCCTCTGCACCAGCCGTGCCGGGAAGGTAGCGTCCACTGACCTGAATGGCGACTGAGAAATACAGGCCGCAGTTAAACACCGAATAGAATGTAAACCCGACCAGGTTCAGCGCCAGAAAGTCAAAGTTCAGGCCGACCACGCTGTAAGCAGAACGAGTGGGAGGGTTACGATGTCAGAACATCGCAAAACGGAGTGATATGACTTCGTATGATATCAACAGGCAAAAAAAAAAAAACGGCTTGAACTTATCGGGCATTACCTACTCGCTGGATGGCTTGATCATCGCAAAAAAACAGCATAATATATGCTGTAAAAGAGGGCTATTAACAGCATACATACTACAAACATTTGACAAAGCCACCATTTTATCAGCGGGAAGATACAACTTAGTGCTAGATTAAATTACAAGTCGAGCAAGGGCTAGGTTCCCCACTGGGATCGTGGCCCCATCACGCACGTGATTCGTCACCCGTCTCCCTGCGCCCGACAGTCGAGTCAGCGGACGGCCACCCACCTTTTTCGTCTGTAGTTGGTGTATATCTGCGGGTAGAACGACACGGTCCAGGCGGCGAAATAGACCCAGCCCACCACCGAGCTGAACGTGTCCAGACCGAACGTCTCCAGCACGTTGACGCGCACGTAGACGTCAGACGCACTGCCGGGGGAAGAGGGACATTGTAATGTATGTACATATAAACCTTGTCTGGGTGTAGGCGGACTGTCGACTGTAAACAGATATTCACTTTGAAATGGGTCCATAGTTAAAATAAAAATTGTGAAAATATTTGAAAATCACCTGCTGAAACAGCTATGGCATAATCTCCTGTCGAAACTTTGAATCGACAAGATGTCATAATTTCTAAACTCAAGAAAAAAAGCAGTTGTAGTTTCAAGTTTGATAATTTTAGTGCAAAAACCGCGTACCCTTGTTTGGTCGGATTTCCACATTGCATCGTGCGGCTGAATGCTTGTTATGAAACAGTCCCATTCCAGTTACCGTTGGGCACAGAGTCACGCTATCCCGGTCCTAGCGTGCAAGTAAACAATGCGCGCCCGTTTCTGTTTTATAAGCGAGCCGCACCAACTCACAGGCATTTGGGCCAATACTATCAATTTATGCTTACTAGCCACTAGGCATGGATGGAACGTCACACGACGCATAGGTATAACTCTGATAGTTGTAGTCTGACGAAAAAGTATACAAATTATAGATAGCCATATCGCCCGGTAGATTTGATGCAACGAATGGCGGCTTAGCAGATGACTACTTTATCAGCCGAGTCTGATCATGATGCCACTACCCCCTCAAAAGCACCCGTACTGTATGTAATCCGCTGACAGCACATGTTAGCGCGCGCGATCCATCCCACCGTCCCTGAGCACATCCGCCAGTGCGCGAATGACAGACACAGGTGCGGAATGAGGGGGGGGGGGTCACGGTGGTCGGTCACGGTGTCACGTGATGACCCGCCCAGTGCCGAGTCATTGGGTGGAGTGCGCCGCTACTGCGCGGGGGGGGGAGCAGGTAGTTCAGTGTGGGCCGTGGGGGGGGGGGGCACTTCACTCGCAATCTGCGGGCAGTCCTGACAGCGATATCACGGAGCGATCTAACGGGCGGGGAGGGTGAGAGAGATACCGCCAGAGGTCGAGAATATACCCGAGAGGGGACGGGGGTCACGCGCGGGAGAGCTGAGCAGATACCAACGACCAGACGGGAGCAGTTTATGGAGACCAAGCGATTCAAATGGAAAGATAGGGAGACTGTTTTACGGGGTGTATGCGTAAGAACTGATATGTTTGTCACGAGGATTACGGAGAATATTTGCTTCTTCACGTTCTCATGCCTTTTAAAACTTTTGTGAGACGTTGAATCATGCCGAAAAAGCGTTTTGTGTGTAAGTACTAGGTAGTAATCGTTAAACAACCCAGGAAAAAAGGTACACCGATGACCTGAGAGGTCGGCCGAGGCCACTGACGTAATAGTTGAGCTGGCGTGCCCCAGTCCTAAGCACAGGACCACTGTCCTGACATGGCATTCCTTCTGTGCGACACTGACACCCTACTAACGCGGACAGCACGGCGGTAGCCTGGGTCGGTCAGCCCGCGACAGGAGGCAGCTCTTATATTTGGCAGTGGAGCATTACCAGTGCCATTGCAATGGCTGCTGGCCAGCCTGAACTGAACCTCGGGCAATGACACGTTGACAGTGGCCATGTGGCGACCTGCAGTGACCTACCTGAACTGGTCTTCGGGTAGTGACACGCCGACCGTTCGGTGACCTGCAGTGACCGGGCAGTGACCCATCTGAGCTGGTCCTCGGGCCGCGACATGTTGGCCGTGCTCTGGCCTACAGTGACGTGTTAGCAGTGACCTGCAGTGACCTCCAATGACCCACCTGAACTGGTCCTCGGGCAGTGACCGTACAGTGACGTGCAGTGACCTCCCGTGACGCACCTGAACTGGTCCTCTGGCAGTGACGTATTAGCCGTCACCGTGCAGTGTCCCCGGTGGCGCGGCTCCAGCCCCACGGTAATGGTCTCTGTACTGTTGGCGGCTATCTGTAGGGGCGCCAGCTCCCCCAGGACGGACTCGTCGCTCCGATGAAAGGTCAGCGTGAGTTCCTCCGGCACCGGCGCGCTGGCGGTCGGGGGAGGTCAGGTCAGGTCAGATCATCCAGCGCACAGCTGAGGTCAGGGAAGTAGGATGAGCAGATAGCTACATGAATTACGATGCCCCAAAATAGAGACAGTTCTCTCAGATACCTCATACCAACACTCCAAACTAAATAATTCCACTCAGTACTCACTCGAAGAAAACTTGAAACGAGCCATTTTTGCTGATCTCCAGCCGAATATCGTGCCCGTTGGTGTATGCCCGGGGGACGGCATCACTGAAGGCGGACCCGAACAGCGCTGCAACAGACCGGGAGGGGACGGGTGAGTCAGGGTCGGGTTAGCGGTGGGTCAGAGATAGGGCACGGATAGGCACCGTCCAAAGTCAGACGGGAGTGTAACAAGTAACTATGACGAAGACTCGATAGGACAGCGTACAGAAGACCGGAACGAAAGATCGTGATAAAGTGACATTGTTTGTTGCTGCATTTAATAGTAGATTGTGCTTTCTTTCCTTTTAAAGACAGTCATATAAAGAAAACTTATTACATATAATAGAGAAATGTCGCGGTAGTCTGGGATGAGTATATGTGCAAAGCGCCACAACATGCTATGTGGCAGTCCAGTGTAGTTGCATAACAAAACAACCACTCCCTCACCACAGCCGTCAAAGTCACAGCAGTCAAAGCGCAGGATCAGAAAATTAATCAAAGTTAATGCCGCCAAACCAGATAGAAACAGCTCCTTGGTCGTGTGATAAGACGCTAAATCAGTAAACTGTGTCTTATAAGCGAAGCAGCAGACACAAAATAAACAGTGTCCGTCCTTGTGGGGAAATAAACAGAGGGCAAGGCTAACGCCACTCTGGGATTAAGTCCTTCCGTAAAAAGAGGGAACGAGTCACGTAAGTTGACGGTCAGCTCGCATCCAAAGCGCAACGTAGTCAAATATTTATCATATAATTGAACTGAAACGTAATTTAGCTTCATTACCGCCCCTAGTTATCTCAAGTAAACATGAAAAGCACTCGTTTTCTCACGGAGTCGATAAAGTTTATCACGATGGAATGTCTACCTTCCTATAAAATAACCAAACTTACTATAAAATAACCAAACCATAAATCGGGGTCGGAGATTCAACTGTTGAACAGCTGAAACGCAAGTGGATCTGGCATGCATCAAACCGCTACCAGCCTGGAATGCTCCAGCGTATTCAGGGACCCGAAACCACACCCGGGTGAGCAGTATAAGCATAATGTGACACTCGTACGTGCAAGTGAGACGAGATAACCCAGACAGGTGACCAAGCGTATGGCTTTTCACGGCGGGCGAAAAGACACGTCCAATTTTTTCGGTCCGATTGCTGCGTCCAGTTTTGTTTTGTCTCGCTCTTAATGTCCCGCCGCAGTTTGCGACAGGACGCAGTACGCGTCGGGGCAGCAAGGTGTCAGGACGAGGTAGTTGGCATGGGAAAACAGGCGGCGTCACTACCATCGATATCAGCCGTATATGACGCGCGGTCTGTACAGACACAGGGGTCATGCCATCCCCCGTCAGAGATCCCTGCGCAATGTCACCCTACTCGAACCGCCATAAGCCCAGCTGGGTGGTGGTGTGGCGTAAGTCACGGGAGCAACAAGCCCAGATTCATGTGCTGGCTCTGAAAGCCACCCAAATATTTAGTCTGTGATTCGCTTACTTTGAACCTTTTAACCGGAGCTTGAGCCCTAAATGAAAACATTCATATTTTACGGGTCTGAAACTCTCGAACTCACCCATGGGTGACCAGCTTTGGCTCGGTCTGATTTTAAACTGCACATACGGAACACCGGTTCTAATTGACGAACGTCGACAGGACGGGAAGGACTAAGGAGAGACTGCCAGAGCGATGACCAATTTCAAAAGCAACACCAAAGCCACCACCACCACCACCTTTACTGTCGCACCACCACCACCACCCCAAATTGGACACCGTCGCTGCTGCCGCCGCTGCGGCCGCCGGCGCCTGCGATAGGTTAGGTAAGCCAGCAGAGCACCACCTCAGTGTTAGGGCCCGTCGGGGGGGTGTGGGGTCAGTGTGGGTACCTTGGCGGAGCTGGCTCCAGTGACCGTCAGCACACAGAGACAGAATCAGCAGCCCTGAAACTTGGTGCGCGCCACGTCACTGAACGACATCTAACGTCGTGCGGACCCACAAACACCCATTCATTTGCTGGCGGGTCAGTTCAGCCCTGGCAATCACCACAAACAGCCGCAAACGGCCACGGAGGCGAGACGATAGCATAGCCAGCGCCGAAACATACCACTTTAGACCTTGTTTAAATCGCAGAGAAAACGATATGGGCCGCTCCTTTGCACAGCTTAGAATTGGGCTTTAAACAAAGTTGGCAGATTTTCTGCTACTGATCGCCACGACCCTTCATTCAAGGTCTTGAATTTGATCCGCAGTTAGCTAAATAGCATGTAATGGAAATTAACATGTGGCTGTTGGCATTGGCAAGTTAAAACAAGGCACATTAATCCCAAACCCCACTACCAGCATGGCTAGAACGTGACATGTAAAGCACACAAAGAGAAAGCTTCCGAAGAACGACATAAGCTAACAGCGGCAGAAAGGTTGAGAAAAGACGAATATCCGACGGACAAAGACAGTGTAACGTACAAACCCACGACACCCGAAAAGTAACATCTAGTAACGGACAAACCCAGTCTGCCAGCCGGCAGACTATGACGCCATGTTCGTCCAACTCACCTGCCAGGCAGACGGTGAGAAGCAGCACCTCTCTGGGCCGGATCCGCATGGTGGTCGGTGCGCGCTGCCTGCGGGATCTCACAGCGCAGGGTGCCAGAGCTGGAACGGGGCGAGGCCACGGTCATCTAAACAGTCCCCGGGTGAGCTGGAGTTGATGGTGCATTTAGAAAGAGGCCAGAGAGGCTGGGCCTTTATTTGATAACTAATAAAAATAAAAAAGATTTGAGAGAAAAGCATATAAACGGAATAATCTGCTACCGCGAAGAAACAAAAAGACGGCGCTTCGACATCAAATTTAAAAAGAAAAGAGCAGCAGTGCAAAAATGAATAAGACGGCCGTGGGTGGGATCCTGGGTGGGATAGGCCTTGGAGAAAACATTTTCAACAATAATAAGGTGCGTGGCAAAATGATTGGAAAGCCCTCAGCAGGAAAACAAGGGCTGAATACCAAGTCAATCACAAAAGACTGGGTTGGTTATTTTTGATACCAGGGACTACATGGTTATGTCATCCGTCACGTGGCCAAATCCCAGGGCGGGTGGTGAGGGACAGGGTTCGATACGGGTCACGGGGAGGGGGCGATGCGATAGAGTTGGGTCGGGGAGACAGGCTTGGATTAGTGAGATGACGTTTATCAGTGGGCTGCGGGGCGGGGTCATTGCGTCATGACTAGGTCGGTGTGACAGCCGGTCTGTGACAACTGACAGGGCAGGTCGGTGCCGACCAGAACCGGTCTTGTTGCATGATCAATGTAAGAAAAAGCCTTTATCAAGACTAAATATTGAAGCTAGTATTGACCAGTGACAAAGCCACGCTCGGTCATCCCATGCACGTCACACATGTTGCAGTAAATTTGTTGCCTACACAGCAACAGAAATTCGAACGATATTAACAAGTAATTTGCTGGGCTGATGCGGGCGAGGTCGTCCCGCTCAGCATTGGTGATAAGCCGCGCAGCGAGTGTCACTAGCACACTTGTACTGGCACCTGCACTTGAGGCAACACATCGACTGATAATTGAACGACCGCGTGTATCAACAAAAAGGAGGATTGACAGCCTTGAGCTGCTCTTGATCTAGCAGATAGTTGTGGCAAGGCAGTAATGACACAATCACAAGGACACCTGAGCAGCCTTGTGCAAACACACAGTTTTAACAAAACGTCTAGGACTAGACTAGACTAGTGAAGACTAGCCAGACTAGGTACGCAGTCTAAAGATGTGCTGGTAATGGCGGTCGAAACAGAGACTGCTAGTACTTATATTGGAAGACAAAGCGCCTATTCACGCATCCTGATCCAATTTCAAAAGGACATCCTAAATCATGTGCCTACATCAAATGCATACGGACTACGGTTGATAGTCTGGTGCAGATATACGTATCACGTAAGAGCATCGTCATCCGACGAGCATCGTGACGTGAGACGGTGACGGTGTCATGCCTCGCTCCATGCACCCGGCACTGGGAGGACCGAGCTGCAGGACGGCGACAGTGCCACCAGCACGGATGGGCAGTCCGGCGCCGGAGAACGACATTCCGTGAGCGAACTCGTCAGGGCGTACGGCGAAACCTCTGGCGATGGCCACAAGTAACGAGTTTTATGGTCACAACCTTCAGATAGTTATATTTAATGGTTTCTGGTTCTATTTAACTATTATTATCAACTATTTGTTATCTAAATGTGCATACCAAATCATCGCTCGACAATTTTGTTAGGTAATGTAAAACAGGGCTGCGGAGTCGATGGATTTTCGGCGACTCCGACTCCGACTCCGACTCCGGCTTTCAAAAACCAGCTCCGACTCCGACTCCGACTCCGGGCAGAATTGTCGACTCCGACCGACTCCAACTCCCGACTCCGACTCCGCAGACCTAGCAGGGCTGCGGAGTCGACAGATTTTCGGTGACTCCGACTCCGACTCCGGCTCGGGTTTCTAAAATCGACTCCGACTCCGACTCCGACTCCGGTCACAACTGTCGACTCCGACCGACTCCGACTCCGACTCCGACTCCGCAGCCCTGAGTAAAATACCTAACAGAGTTCCGTGTCAGGAAATGACGAGCTTCGGTATGTAAAAACACGCAAAAATCGCACGTGTACCGTCCAGCTTTGATTAAAACCATGAATGAACGTCACGCAGACAAATGAAACACCATAAAGTTTTGTACAAATGGTGCATTGCATAGCTGACCTTTTGGGCATTACTGACTGACATTTTTCGAATTGCAATCTGGACTTACATACAGTGGGGGGCACGCTACAAACACGTCTAATAAATACAGCGAAGGCTCACTAAGGTCTACATAGAGCACGTCTTATAAAGGCAGCAGAGGCGCACTACAAATAAACAGCATGTCTTATGCACGCCGTTAGCAGACGACGGTCCCTAGACGCACACTGACGGACTGAAACAATAACCTTACACGGTGTTAGCTGACCGACCGCAGAGCCACGCTGCAAGGACAGGGTATCCCGACGCCTCAGCAGCCCCCGGCACTCTATGGTACACCAGTAAGTGCGACACACTGGCACGCGGGCGCTGCACTGAACACTGAACCAAACGACCGTGGTGCCTGACTACATTGGAGCTACCGAGCTACCACCCACCGGCGACCGAGGCCGGACACAGCGCCTCTGGCGGACGCGCCGTGAACTAGCGGCCGGTGTCTATGCGAGCTTCGTGAAATGTGTTCTCGAGTCTACTGTACCTAATGGTACCTAATGTCGTGCATCAACATACCAGCGATGAATTTTGAACAGTGCTTGGCCACACCACGTTGTAAATAGTATGGGTTAGTCTGTAGGCTGATCTTATATTCCTAAAGAATGCTGAAGGTGAAGTCAACTGAAAAAGCAAGAGCGATGACCGAACAAAAATAAACTCAATCCCAATGATCCGCAATGCTCTGCAAACGTCCTGTAAGACCGACCTACCAGTTCTATTTAGACCAGGATCTCTAACACCATGATCATTGAACAGGCTTCAGGTCAGATTCACTCCGGAAGTTAGGTGCCGCGGAATACACCTAGATCTGCAGCGATAATCGTATATTTATTTTTGAACTGGAATGCTGGGCGAGGGTGTGCCTTTGCTGTACGATATAACCAATAGAATGTATGGATTGAGAATGAAGATTCAAACAGCGCAGCCCATTTACAGGAAACCAGTCTTGCACCAGAGAGCGCACTGACCATCTTGATATGTGAGATTATTTTTGATTTGATTGTTATACTAGTTTCGGTGTCGCCCTGACCAGAGTTGACCTGGCCTTGTACATAAAAACATTCCTAAACTGCCAGTGCAGTCAGCAGTGTGGTCTCCGTCAGCTCACAGGCCTGCCGGTGCGGGCACCGCTCAAACCATGGGATCCGCCAGTGTGGACTTGGCATACGATCTCCGTTTGATATTTTGGTAAAGTTCCTCAACATAGCTTTGATCAGGGCTGCGGAGTCGGAGTCGGAGTCGACAGTTTTACCCAGAGACGGAGTCGGATTTGATTTTTGGAGGCCGATGTCGGAATCATCGAAAATCCATTGAATAAGCAACCCTGGATCTGATCACTATTCCTAAATTATTATCTCGTGTATTCCCGGTCGAGCCGTCACCTGACACGCGCGCGACCGTGTCTTCGTAACGTGATCACGTGACGAGCACGGCAGCGCCCTGGCCTCGTGCGACCTTCCACGTCACAGGAGATCAAGTGGGGAGATATAGGAGCAACGACAGACAAGGAGCGGGCAGCCAAAGTGCCAGTCAGCAGACACTCGACCTCGAGTTGAGTGCATGACCCGCAGAATCATGCTCCAGGTGCAAATTCCTTTTGTGATAAAATGTGATTATCGTGCCGTGTAGAAATAAACAAACGTTATCTTTTGAACTTGAGCCACCTACACAAACGAAAGACTATATTGAAAAATAGTTAATATAACTACCTTAGTGAACTAAACACTTGATAGTCGCAGGTTGAAGTTCAATGAGAAAGGACAGCATTAGCGGAGGTTATCAGTTTCACGCTATGAAAACCCAAAGGTGAAAAGTTTCTATGAAGTTGTTGTTCTGATATCAAACATAGATCATCGCATTACCAGAATTTTGACTGGCATGAACGTCACAAATGCTGCTCAACAGCAGACATCAGAAAAGAACAAAAAATGGTATAGCATTGAAAGAATGAGAAGTGGTCATTAAAAATACAAGGCTGAACTTCATTCATGATTCAAACGTTGCCGGTTAAGAAGACGTACTCTGATCGACAACCAACACACTTTTTGTAAATTTAGCTCGAATGTTTGAATGGACGGATTGACAGAGCCAAAGCCCACGCTCAGCAGAGCTTGTGCGTCGACTCCGATCCCTACCGGCCGAGCACGCAGTTCCGAGTAACAGGAGAGTTTTCTAACACCCAAGTTTAACTTAAACATGCCCACCAAAGGCATGCACAGTCTGTCCCACTTAACTGACTTCAACTGGCTGGCTATGGCCACTCCAATCAACTGCAGGCTATGAATTGATTGCCGGAGCAACTCAAACCCAGGCTCTCACCACCAGGAGTCCAATGCTCTACCAACTGAGCTATGGGACAGGGAGTTACATAATGTGTTTAATTATTTTGGAAACTAGATACAATAAGTCCTTCTTGAAAGCAGTTCCATATTCAGGATAGCTAGCAGTCTTCACTCCCTCAGGAGCTGAAAAAAACCTAATCTCCAGCATATCCAACAGCATCCCATTTCCACATGTAGCCATGTTTGTGAGGAATTCAAACACACAGTAATGGAAGATAAAACTTGTAGGTACTGGGCCCTGAACCAGGGTCACAATCAGCATGGGTCATCTAAAGTAGCCATTAACCAGGAAAGGCCTTTGAACAAACTGTTTTTCACTACTACTTTTTTACAGCATCAAACATTGTTTGATGCATCAAACATTGTTTGAAATGTTGTTTGATGCAGTAACACAAATACAGCCGGTCCCGTAGCTCAGTTGGTAGAGCGTTGGACTCCGCGTGGTGAGAGCACGCGTTCCCGGTTATAACAGTCCGGGTTCGAAGCGCGACGGGCGCTTATCATTTATGGGCCTCCTGACAGGTATGGTTGTGGTTGGTGGCAGGCCGTAGCCAGGCGAAGTCAGTGAGGGGACCAGCCGTGTGCGGCTATGTGCGCACGTTAAACTTTGGACTCTAAATTCTGCCATAGAACTGGAATTGCGCTATCGGAGGGGGCAGGGTCGCCGCAACAAGCTTCGCCTCCCGGTGGCTCTGTCTTTGTGAATCCTTCCTATCAAAAGGTTCGGACTAAATTTATTTAAAAAAAATCATGCATTAGGTACCATCCATGATCCAGCGACATACATGTGCCCTCAGACCTCGCAGCATGCACACAAGCGCATGGCACAGCCGCACCTGTTGCACACATTAAAAATTAGGCATTACACTCAGCCACCCTGGTAGCAATTAGTAAGCAAATGCATCCATGATGATGATTATTATTATTATTCTTGTATTATGACCTCCATACAACAATGGCTCTTCCGGTCACACAGTAATGATCACAAAGTGCTAAAGTGACAAGCACACATAACATCGCATCTTCATGGCGGCAAAGTTCATGACGAGCACAATAAACACAAACTAATCCTAAACCACTCTTTTCTCAGTAACTACTGACAGTACAGGTGACTAGTTTTCAGAGTCACTGAGCCACGACCGCGCTCGTTTTCGGCATCCAGCTGAGGTCCTAGCACCCCTGACCTGCATCAGTTCTGCATCAGTAGCATCAGTTCTCGCCCTCGATTGGTTCCAGTATGTTGTTCTGGAGCTCTTTGGATCAAAGCTGACCTCAGGCAGACTCTTCATTGGCTAATGCCTACCCAGGAAGTGGCACTTTTATGGGAACTGATGGCTCAGTTAAGTTGAACAGGTGAGTCAGTTGCATGAACTACCAACTGATGTAGGGACACAGGCCTGATTTGCCCTTAGCCCAAGCATCCATACTGCAAAGTTTGGCTCGTAGGTCGACGAGGCGCACCGATCAACAGCTGTTTAGTGTATCGTACAACAAATCTGATAGGCGAGTCATTCACAGCGGTTTTGACTACTTAGCCGTGGCAAAAAGGTGGTCCTCAAGGTCTGCCATCAGCTGTACGCATCTCGCTCTACCACCGAGCGACAAAGCCAAATCCTCACATGAGCCGAGCGCATCTCATTTACGAATACTGCAGAATCCAACAACCTCAGTCCTCAGATTCTTTCCTGATACCTGATACCTGATCCGTATTTGACTGTTTGAAGCGATGGAGCGGTGATCTAGGCCTGCCATCGGCTGTGCCCATCTCGAATCCCTCCCATCACCCAGCTCAGTGCTCATCTCAATCTCTCCCACTCCACTACCGGCGCCTCACAGAGCCAAGTGGTCAGTTTCGTGTTTTAACAGTGCGAACTTGCGGTCAACCCAGGTAATTATCACTGGTATTGTCCGTTCTAAGTCTAACCACCACTCACTCAATTCGACCCGAGAGCACACTGAATTAAAGGTTGAACCTCCAATAATGTTTTTCTTCGATTTCCCTCCTCTATCTCGTCTGGTCTGTCATGCCAGTCGCTAAGCCAAGCCAATTTCACATCGCACTACACTAAATCCGCACCGCACCACGCCAAATCCGCACTGCGCTGCACCAAATCCGCAACAGCCGAACAAGCCTGTACCTACAAGATCTCGTCCAAATTGCCATACTTTGCAGACTGGTCAAGCATGATGATTGATGACTGATGAGTCATTATTTACTTACCTTTTTAAAACTTCAGGTAGAAGTCTCCTCAGCTGTGCTTTTGCAAGTTCTGCAATGTAACAGTAGGGGAACTCAGTTGCAAATAGTAAATGGGTACCTACCTAAAAAAAGCAATACAGAATGATACAGGTACATATTAACGCTGGTTTTCTAACAATACAAATAGATAGGTACCCATCTACGACAATTACCACACACAAATCCAGCCCGACAAAAACTCACTCAAATCAAATGTGCAACCTAATTTATTAACACACCATTCACCTTGCATTCACCTATCATGATCAACGCACATAACCCACCCAACAGAAAACCTGCACACTATTCATAAAATCTTTCACTTTTAGTTGACAGCACCTAAACTCAGGAGCTCATTTGCTGTTTTCGTAGCAAAGATGCTCGTCATGCTCACGCTAGCAGAATAGTTTGTGAATGTTCAGGGCACTTTTGCGACAATGGATTGCAAATCTGGCGCTCACGTTTTCTATTGCGATTCGTAGAGAATTATACGGCATTTGAAAGATATTTTTCAATTTTGATTTCTTTCTGTGTGTGCTAATAGGTGATCTTCTGTTACCTTCTATTTTGCGTCGACTCATAAAAACGATAAAAGGGCAAAATTTCTCGTGTTGGAGAGGTTCGTGGTGAGTCGTGCATGGTCGTGCAGGGCAAGGTGTAGGTCCTCAGTCTCACCCATCTCAACCTATGGGGACAAATTTCCGTCTATTTCAACTTTACTATCAAATTTGATCAATCTGAAACTGACCAATGTGTGAAAATGTTGTAGTCTTGTATATACGGAAGCAGGCGTACTGCCTGTAACTTCCATTACTCCTTACTGATTGAAAATAGTAAGGTTTTTATCTGTCAGATGATAGGTTTAGTCGTACGTCAAATTGAAATAGGAACGGATCTGTTAAAACCAGTAATGCTCATGTAGGTACCTTGGTACCTGCATGAACATTTTAGCTGATGTAATGCTAGGTATATGTGTGCTGTATTGTATGATAGCTAATGTACCTAAATAGGTAATGAAACACTTGGGGGTCAGATGAGTGTACCTATTGTCTTACACTTTAAAAGCACCACGTGCCCAATTTTCGGCTTTCAACAAGCATTTCTTGGCATTGGTACTGACTGATGGTTTATATAGCCTTGGTACTCATACTGACTATGACAATGACTGGATTAAAAGAGGGCATTTCTTGGCTTAAGCAACACTCCTGCTAGTCAACATAGTATAGGCTCATTTTGACATATTGTGTTGTACAGGGCACATTTTTTAAAGTATATTTGACATGAATGTTTGCATGGACAGATTGACAGAGCCAGAACCCATCCTGACCAGAACTTGTTGTGCAGACCAGAACTTCCACCACTCTGATCCAATTATGCATTTATTGTATGTATGTATGTATGTATTGACGATCAAGAGCAATCCACAATCGGCGTGGCGATTACACTCCAAGAAATTGGCAAGAAAGTATTGGCAAGAAAGTATTGGCAAGAAAGTATTTATGTGCTAAAGTTAAGTGTGCCCATCAAAGCCAGATGTGGTCTGTTTCACTCAACTGGCTTCAGCTGCTCCCACCAACTGCAGACCATCCCCCACCAGAAGTCTCATGATAATTGTCGGGAGTCTCATGATATCGAGCACTGGAGCATCACAAACCCCTGATGTCTTTTCGGGTTGTGTAGCAGTCTATGAGCTGAGCTCCAATACCTATGTAAAAATCAGTGGCTCACTGAAGACGGCCAGACTATCAATGTAGATTCTGTACATTACAATCACACCTTGTTCCCTCTTCCTCCAACGCCACAGGCGGTGATACCTGAAGCACCAATCGCTCACGGTGGCGCCGCCCGAGGCCATGTCTGGCAAGATCAGCCGGTCCCTGTCGACGGCGCCGGCGGGCCCCGGCGGCGGTGACGGTGACGCGGCCGCCGAGCGAGAGCCGGCGCCCAAACGGCAGCACTCGCCCTCCTCCTCGCCGCTGCAGGTGTTTGTCAAGGCCAAGAAGCGCATCAACGACATCTACGACAGCATCGACGGCTACGTCCTGGATGTGGTGCGCTTCGTCAACAGTGAGTGCGCTCGTCCTGCCGCGTGACATGAATTAGTTAGGTGCTGATGATCATGTGAACTGTGCATTTTCATGTGAGTTCATTGGTTATTATTTGTCCATGTACGTGTTTCGGTGGTCGTTTGATGACAAGTCGTCTCAATTACAAATTTTGATTGCCGATAAAGTTTCGTTTGTCACGTTGTCAGTAATTTCTGATTATACCTCACTCAGATATTCCTACGGACAAGGATCTGCTGACGGCTGATCAGGCAGAGAACATCCAGGCCTTGCAGAAGAAGGTCAAAGGCATCAAGGAGGTGCTGGCCCGAAACCACATGAAGGTCGCCTTCTTTGGCAGGTCAGTCATTCTGTCCGTTTTATGTTCGATACAGATCGTTCCAAGTAATCAATTTACCGAATCTCGTTACCCTCAACACCTACCTGAGAACTCAGTCTATTTTTTTTCAAGTGTCCCACTCACAGAGTATAGCATGATTGGCCCACTAGCCCTGTAGGAATAAACTTACCTCGAATTGAAGAACCGTATTCTTCCTGATAATTACCTCTCGGTCGTCAGATTTTACATCAAGCATCGAAAGGCTGCCGTTTTTTCATACTCACCCCATGTATGCATCACCATCCCACAGAACGAGCAACGGCAAGAGTTCAGTGATCAACGCCATGCTGCGGGACAAGGTGCTGCCGAGCGGGATGGGCCACACGACACACTGCTTCCTCCAGGTGGAGGGCGTCGACGGCGACGAGGCGTTCCTCACCGTCGGAGACGACGGACAGAGGCGCAGCGTCGAGGTGGGTGGTGCAGGGGAGAGATGAGGATGGAGGAGGGATGAAGGAATGGAGGAGAAATGAATTAGGGCCGGGTGTAAGAGGGACGAATAAGTGATGGAATAGGGTTGCGACAGGGCTGGAGGGGGGACGAGGTGGTGGAATGTAGAGGAGAGATTAGAGAGGGACGATGCATTAGATATGACCTGAAATAGGTGAATGGCTGCTTATCTCGGGTTACCATTGAGCTCATTATTATAGGCGGGCTGACCAATACCATGAATCGCTATCTATCCCGGTCACGACGTGACGGGCACGCCCGCACAGTTTGGTAGCTCCCAGACCCGCCACTTCCCCTTCAGCTGTCCATTAACTCTCCCCCCCCCGTCCCCTCGCGTCCCCAGTCGGTGGCTCAGCTCGGTCACGCGCTGCACAAGGAGAAGCTGGACGAGTCGGCCGTGGTGTACGTGCACTGGCCCAAACAGCGCTGCCACCTGCTCAGGGATGACGTGGTGTTCGTCGACTCACCCGGCATTGACGTCACCCAGGTGGGTGTGACGTCACTGAAAGTGGATGTGACGTCACCCAGGTGGGTGTGACGTTACTCGCGTGGATGTGGCGTCAATCCGGTGGATGTGACGAACTACTGGGGATGTGATGTGACTCTACCGGGTATGCATCCACTCAAGTGGATATGTCGTCGCACAGGTGGTTTGCATGGCACATCTTAGGGAGCAATTCTCAGTCTTGATTGCACCATGCACGACATCATTACAGTATGGATATAACGTCACGGATTGGATGAGACCTAGTCTGCCGTTCAAAGTACGACGATAATTCACTAACTGGTGTGGTGCTTCCATTTCCGTGTCCGTTGAGTGACGCTGGGTGACTTATAATCTCCCACCTGTCTCTCTGATACCGATTGGTCTGACCGCGACCTGCCGCCTACCGCAGGGCCTGGACGCCTGGATCGACGCCCACTGCCTGGACGCCGATGTCTTTGTGCTGGTAGCGAACGCCGAGTCCACGCTCATGCAGACGGTTAGTGATGAGACGGAGGTTGCTCAGACACAATGAAATGTATAACTGAAACACTGACTTGTCGATGTCGGTGAAGCACTGTCCAGACTCACCTCATGATACCTTGGCGGACGCCTGACTCTGTATTGACCACCGTCCACAGGAGAAGAATTTTTTCCACAAGGTGTCTGAGCGACTGTCGAGTCCGAACATTTTCATCCTGCAGAACCGCTGGGATCAGACGGCCAACGAGCCAGAGTTTGTGGAGGTGAGCTCCTTCACTTTGTCAGTACCTCTACTGCAATTAAAGCATTTTTATTTTTGTGTGGTTCATGATTAACTACCTATTATATTTACTTGGTTAGCATTATTATAATGTGTCTTATAGCGTATTGAAAAGTAGCCGTATTGCCCGTTTCGTGATGCGTAGTGAGTAGCTTTTTTATCGGTCGAATTCAGTGACCTCTTTATATTAGGGTCAGAAACTCATGTGGACGAGGCATGAAAATTTACTTATGCGCATTTTCGGTGTTCGGTTACGTTTGACATGGTTTATTACCCTGTATGTCGACTTAAATTAGTTCGCCAAGTATGAATTTATTTCGTGAACGGTGTACAGAGGTCTGTGGTTGAGTTCCTAGCCCACATCAAGACGGTGTTAAAAATAAGACGGCTGGAGTCCTTGCTCCGGCTGGAAGTCTGTTTTCCTTTTGACCGCTGCCGCTGTCCGGCAGGGCTCTGAGTCCGTTCCGGAAGTGTCGGTGGTGAGTGAGAACCAACCAGTAGCGCTGGCTTCGTAAACTCACCAACCGAAAATTTATTGTTACCGTGGCTAAGACGAAATGGTGTATGGCTATGCTAGATTAGTCACTTATTATAAGTTATCGGTAAAAATCACGGGCCCTTGGGTGACGCTTTTAATGGTTTATTTCTTTTTATGACTTATTTTGCAAAGGCTTCGACGCTTTCTAGGTCGTCGCGTGCTTGATCAACTATTTTCGGCCTTGGGACTTGACTCTCAACTTCAGACGACACGCTATAGTTTGAACTCTGAACGGCTTCGAAATGCTCTCGCTCGACTTTGTTCTGCGGAAATATGATTGTATTATGCCAGGACGCAAATGAAAGATGTCTTCATTTGCACGGGGCTAAAGGCGTTGCAAACGTAGTGCAATGACACTTGAGTTGATCTGTTGGATATTTGGTGTGCGTCGTCCTTTTCTTCTAGAGTCTGACGCTATATTAAGCACATTTGAATTCGTCCGTGTGACCAGTTCACGTGCCAAGCATGTTAGCAATTCTCCTCGGGTGACTTTTAATCCCCACTGTGTGTTCACTCTCTTGTTTGTTTTTCAACAGTCTAGTCTGAGCGCTCTCTAGTCCGTTCTTTGGAGTTGTGGGGTTTTGGAAATGGGTTTACTCCGTTTGCCGTATAGCCTTACCCACATTCTTAGTGTCAGTCAGACGGATCCAGCCTTTCTCTCTGGGACACTAACCGACAGTCATGTTCTTGTAAGTCAATCTCGGCGGCCTAATCTTGTGACCTAACCTGCGATGCTGGGCTGACCTCCACAGTGCGACTGGTCTCCTGTCGTACATTAGCATATCAGTTGTGATCTGTCCTGTAACCTGCCTCCGATATGTCATTGGCTTGACCCGTGACTTGACCTGTTACCTGCTTCATGTATGTCATGGGATGATGCCCCTTAGCCTGTCCATAGCTCAGGCTCTATGGCCTGCCCGCACCCTCCTCTAGGCCCGTCTGTGCCTTGACCTTTGTCTCGCCCAGCCTAGGCCCGTCAGTGACCAACCGTGTCCCGTACCCTGCCTTGTGTCTCACTAGTCACCAGCCACTGACCTGTCCCTCGCCTCACCGTTCCCCAGGTCCGCCAGCAGCACCTGGAGCGTACGGTGGCCTTCCTGGTGGACGAGCTCGGTGTGATGACGCGCGCGCAGGCCGAGAAGCGCGTCTTCTTTGTGTCGGCCAAGGAGTGTCTGCTGCAGAGACTGGCCGAGAGTCGCGCGCCCGGCGCACTGCGTAAGTAAAACTTCTGCGGATGGAGGGAGGGAGCCTGTCAGTGGAGGAAAGGAGAGGGCTTTGTGAACCGCACTCGTGGTGCTCTTTGTTATTACTCCTTCACGCTTTATATGTCCTGCGGCATAATGTCATGCCGGGGTTTTAATCCGCTCAGTTATCCTCGACTTATTTTCTTCCTACTCATCCATGCAGTTGGTGATAAAGAATCTGTCATTGCCTTCATGATATGCTTCCTGTCTGTGTAATCCACTGACTGCCCCTATATGGCCTTTTCCAGCGCCGGTGCTGGCAGAGGGCTTCCAGAGCCGGTTCTTCGAGTTCCAGGAGTTTGAGCGGCGGTTCGAGGAGTGCATCTCCAAGTCGGCGGTACAGACCAAATTTGAACAGCACACACAGCGCGGCAAATCCATCGCCAGGTGAGTGAATATATTTGTGAGATGACGGGTTCGATGGCAGGGCCGCCGCCGCATTGACAGTAACGTAGTTTTTTTTCGGTGCTTCGAGCCTTGCGGTACAGTATAAATGCAGGCGTCGACACCACCTGCCATCTAGCGGCTGGGCTGCTAACTGGACGTTCGAAGTGGATCAATAGATGGCGCTAGTAGTAAGCGCCTGTGTGTATGTTGTGCCGCATGTCTCGTGGGCCTACGAATGAAAGGCAGGTTTGAAGCCAGGCACTGGCTTGAAAATCAAAACGATTAATCACTATTTCAAATCGTTTTCTGATGAACATATTCGAGAGGAAATGGTAGAACTATCATTAATCATTTTTCCACATGCAGAATAATGGTGTATGATGATGTGAATGTAAAATAACGATGGCCTGAGACTACATTCTTATTACGGGACCTTTTACCTTCGCCGGCTTAGTGAGGGGGGGGGGGGCTGATGCAACCCCCCTTAAGGTTTTTCGCGAATAACTCGCGTAGGAGCGGCCGATCGCGACGAAACTTTCAGTACCCTCGCATTGATCAATTTTACACCTACCCTAAAAATTTTATGACCCTGATCTAAATGACCTTTGACCTGTGACCTCTTTTCCAAGACCATGTTTGGCCGGAATCGCGGTTCGGCGTATATCGGCTCGCATTAGCCGCGCGTTTGCAAGCTTTTCGTGGTTTCAAACGTTCAAACATGTGATTTGATGTTGCTCCCACGCATTAGGGTGGGTGTCAAGGTCACCTGAAGGTCAGGTCAGGTCATTGACCTTAACCCTCGCCGGCACAGGGGGGGTTGATGCACCCCCCTAAGGTTTTTCGCGAATAACTCGCGTAAAAGCGGCCGATCGCGACGAAACTTTCAGGTCCCTCGCATTGATCAATTTTACACCTACCCTGAAAATTTCATGACCCTGACCCAAATGACCTTTGACCTGTGACCTCTTTTCCGAGACCATGTTTGGCCGGAATCGCGATTCGGCGTATGTCGGCTCGCATTAGCCGCGCGTTTGCAAGCTTTTCGTGGTTTCAAACGTTCAAACATGTGATTTGATGTTGCTCCCATACATTAGGGTGGGTCACCTGAAGGTCAGGTCAGGTCATTGACCTTTGGTAACCTCGGGTGACCTCGGTTCACTTTTTCGAGTTTTACATGTTTCTAGGCTAGTTTTTGGAGCTGAATTCGAATTTAGCAACCATTTGAACATTTACGAAGTAGTTTTGGTGCCTTCGTAACATGTTACGAAGCTGTCAGAGGCGGATGACAGGTACTACGAATACCCGTCACGACCCCTACCGGTTGACCTGACCTGACCTGACCCGACCTGGTCTAAACGCTTAACGACATCATCTGTGATCTAAGCTAACACGATGTTCGTGATCAGCACCCCGGAAACCCCCTTAGCAGCCACACTTTACGACTTTCTAACAGGTCCCGATATTCCCGACTTTTTGGTCATTGACCTGACCTGGAAGGTCAACCGATGACCTAGGATCTTAAAATTGGTTATCATTGGCTTCCTCTCGTGACGGGCAACACGCTCGTTTTTTCCGCGAAGCTCTAGCTCCCTCAGGGGCCAAACGCGAGGGGGGGTCGTATCAACCCCCCCCCCTTGTGCCGTCGAAGGACTCAAAATGGCCTGTACCGGCGAGGGTTAACAGCGACCTCCAGAACTACAGCCTCCAATTTGTAGGACTAGCACTGACCAAAGCTGACCCTGCCTTCATCCAACAGCGACCTTCAGACGGCGCTATCGGGCTTATATGACCGTGCCCAGGCAATCCGTGCTGAAAAGGCCACCAAACGCTCCAAGACCAAGGCACGCATTGAGAGCACGGATCAGCAGCTCAACGCACTCATAGAGTCCATGAAGGACAAAATCTACGCCATGACCGACGACGTAGAAAGAAAGGTGGGTCGTTAATTCAGCGTATCGCAGCTGTTTGCGCTTTATTTCTATCGCAACACCAATAATCAAGCTTTATCACGTATCTTATCTAAAAAAATATTGACTGTAAGTATGCGAGCTTTGTTCTCATTTGTTACATCTCACTCACGCAAGCACCATCCCCTCTAAACATTTCTCGTATCTCGTTATTTGCTCTCTTATGTATATTAACTCGTATACCAGCGGCGGAGTACCACACTAACGCCTCCATTTCCTGCCGACAGGTGGCGGTGGCGCTGGGTGAGGAGATCCGCCGTCTGTCGGCGCTGGTGGACGCGTTCTCCGCCCCGTTCCACCCAGATCCGCTGGTGATCAGTGTCTACAAGCGTGAGCTGCACGCGCACGTGGAAGCCGGCCTGGGCAGTAACCTGAAGAGCCGCCTGAGTGACGCGGTGGCTACCAACATCCAGAGCAACCAGGCCGAGATGACCGGTGAGCTCCTGCCCGCTGGGATCGTCAGCTGCTTGTGAGGGGATACTGGGATAGGCGATGATACATTACTTTTATAGACATATGTCCATTGTCTATGCAGAGCTCCATGCATATTTGCATAGATCGTAATCACTGTAGGTATTCTGTGCAAATATTCTGACTAGGTAGGTGGCTCCAATAATGTGTTTTTTATGCTTAAGTGCGCTCTTTATGCCGCCTCAGTCCGCCTTGTCCTGCCAGCTGACATGCCCTCCACTCGTCCCTGCCTGACCTGGCCCCGCCCGCGCTCCCCAGAGCGGATGACCCAGCTGGTACCTGAGGAGAAGCGTCATCTGGTCAACTCCCTGCTGCCGCCGCGCCGTGAGCCGTTCCAGGTGCTCTACCGCATCAACTGCGACAACCTCTGCTCCGACTTCCAGGTACAGACACCGCGCGCTGAGAGCGGAATCTCGGTAACAAGTCATCACTCAAGGTGAATTGTACTGTGCGATGATGGGAAAGATTCTACAGATGATAGAGTAACAACGTGGGCAAAAATAGCTTATGCTGTTGACTTGCACTCTTATTTGTAAGTACCTACTCACTGCAGTCATACACTAACTGATCAAGATATAGTCATTACATTTACTGGCATGCATTTCATGGTCACGTTAAATTTGGAAGGCGCCCAGTTTCAGCTCCCCTGATTCGACCGCTTTCCCCCTGACTTGACCGCGGTGTCTGTGTTCCCAGGAGGACATTCAGTTCCGGTTCACCTTGGGTGTCACGTCGCTGGTCCGTCGGTACCTGGGCAGCGCCCAGCACGGCCTCTCCATGCTGGGACTCATCGATCAGGTTAGTCAGGCGTGCATGGCGCCCGCAGGGAAACTTATAAAGTTTTATGTATAGATCAAACAAAACTTGCGGCTGAAGTGTCCCGCTAAAGGCAGTGCTGATTTCTGTACATACAGCTCTTACATTCAAATATGCAAATTTTTTAACGGAGGAGGCTGCGAACTGCCGAAGAAACTCCGACCGCAAGCTTGGTATGGAACAGACTATGGTCCTAGACATTTTTAATCCAATGTAACCGCAGGCTGTTTGAAATAGTCAAACAGTATTCGTTAGGTATATTGAACGGATTTTCGCTATCGAGAGTCCGATACTCTGCTACCTAAGCTGCGGTGGTGTCTAAAGTGGTGCAACGTGCCCAGCGATGGCTCGCTCCTCTGAATGTCTCTTTCTGTCAATACAGCCGACGCGCAGTATCCCTGCCACGCCCCGTACCCCGGAGCCGGACAAGGCCGGCGGCGCGGCCGGAGATGACCTGGCGCTCATTAGACGGCTGGCTGTGTCCACCGTGGGCTCGCAGGGAGCCGTGGCCGGCGTCCTGGTGGCCGGATTCGTAAGTTGGAGTGTGCGGGCTAGACACTACGCGGCGCAGGGTTCTGGGGGAGGGATGATCTTTGCGGGTCTGTGTATAATTTGAGAAAGTTCAGCTGGATAATTGTGATAATTTCACATAATTAGAACCCTTGCCCTGTTGCAATGCTCATTTTGGGGTGGCATAGCAGAATCTGGCGAACTTCAATCAGCTCAGTCTTCACATGCTTACAGTAGGACTCCGCGGACGAAAAGTATTTCTCAACTCGTTTGTTACTTACAACCAATGAACTGTGATCCCATTTAGAGTTTTCCCGAAAAAAAAAAATATTTTTACATGATGAGTGACTGGCATATCCCAACCCTGAAATGAACGTTGTCGTCCCGTGTCTGTAGAGCTGTTTCGCTAACTGGCTCCTATAACACACAGCTGTTGCGGATGGTCGGCTGGCGGCTGATCGCCGTCACCGCCGGCGTATACGGCTCCCTGTACGTCTACGAGCGGCTCACCTACACCAACCAGGCCCGCGAGCGGCGCTTCAAGCGCCAGTACGTCGAGCACGCCACGCGCAAACTGCGGCTGATCGTCGACCTGACGTCGGCCAACTGCAGCCACCAGGTTCAGCAGTAAGTATCGCAGCGGAGCTAGAACTGTTCGCCAGTGTAGACGAAATGCCACAGTGGACCCAGAGTTCCACAATGGACATAAAGTAACCAGAGCACTGTAGTGAAGGGATATTATTACGACAGTGGAGCCGTTCTTGCATCGATAATGCTGCTGAACGAGCTTGTGTTGATTTCACAGACATTGCCCTGTTTGTAGCTTTGTTGCGTCCAGTGATGACACTTTCTTACCTAACCCTCCTCTTCCCTCCCCCAGGGAGCTGTCTGGAACGTTCGCGCGCCTGTGCCACCTCGTGGACGAATCCATCGGCGACATGCGAGGTGAGGTCTCTCAGCTCGACACAGAGATAGCCGAGCTGGACGCTGTGGCCGGCTCGGCGAAAACCCTGCGGAATAAGGCCAGCTACCTGGCCAGTCAGCTGGCCGCGTTCGCTGCCAGCTACCTGACTGACATCAGCTAGGTACCGCTCAGTGGGTAGAGCTCAGCTCCTGGGGCAATGTGTAGTGAGACCGTGCTGTAGTGAGAGAGGTCCTCCTGGTCAGTCCAGCTCCCGAGGCAGTGCTGTGCTATAGTGATCGGTGCGACGGGCCATATTAACTCCCTCCCTGGACGTGGTGTAGTCCCGTGGTGCTGCGAGCTGCAGTCCGGGCTGAGTGAGTCGTGGTGAATCTGGTGGCGACCGCCGGCCCTAGTCCTTCTTTGGGTCGCCACAACAGCTGTGTGTCAGATGTGCGATCATGAGAGCGAGTGAGTGACACAAGAGAAGTCCTCTATATTGCTTGCTTAGCTAGGCGACCATCGCCTGTTGACTGAGCTGCACGGTGTTGAAATCAGCGTCTGATGGCGGTACGAACGGCTGCTCCGCTGCTACCGCGCGACTGAGGTGTGATATTAGCGACAGAAATGGGCCGCCCGCAGCCGCCGCGGCGCCGCGTCACTCATTTTTCGGCGCCGCGGCGCAGGAATGCGCCACAGGAGAGTTGTCTGATAAATTTTACCGCAGGAGATGCCTCCTGAGACAGCGGAAAGCGTGACGGCGGCGGCAGGAATCGAATGCAATGCCACTGCGTTTGAAAGGGTTCAAATTTCGTTGTAACACCTGGCCTGAACCAGTGTTTGTGGTGCTAATACAATGTGTCAATATTCCTGTCATTTGCGATTTTGGGCTGGCATCGTCTGGATAATTTATGTTGTTGATGGGCACGATTCAACAACATCTGCAAGGGAACCCGGCCCTTGCATATAATATTGAACCTTTCCCTATCGCCAAACCCAGCTGTTTTTAATGCACGCCTCAAGAGGAGACGGTGCACAACAGAGGCTGCGCGATATCTCGCTACCTTGTCCCTCATTGAGGTGGAGCATCGGAGAAATCGAGGATGATGGAAACGCGCCGGCACACAGATCAGTGGAGAGGGCTGCAAATCCTGATTTATGTCCACATCGAACCACATAACAAGGCGGTCCAATAGTGACGTTTTAGAGCTCGCCAAAGACAAATACAGTTTCTTTTTTCGGTACCAGCGGCATCCGTAAATATCCAACCCCGATCGATTACGTTAGACACGAAATCATATCTGACGAACTTAGCGACGAGGTGTGGGGCCATGAACTTTGGCCTTCTGTCTCCACAGGTGTGGGGATTCACACCCAGATTGACTCCGTGCTTAGACCTTATCACCTGCGTCACCAGTTGTGAACCGAACTCGGTCCCACTGATGTCACTATGCCTCTATGTTATTCGGTCTAAAGGCCGAGCGGCATTTGCATGCCAAGTTTGTTTGATGACGCCGCCAACCCTGTTAAGTGGAGAGTGGAGGAGACGTGGATGGCCGCTATTGGCGTCTCTTCGTGAATACAGAACACAAATTGGTATGGACCGGGATGTGAGACAACTCGAAATGGATCGGGTAGTGCATGAGACAATTTTAACAGGCCCGGGAAGCGAGACATGCATGAGTTGGAAATCGTTTGGAAAGTTGTGCTCAAAAGAATATGAATCGGAGCTTGAGAGTTGAGACACTTGGCAATGGATCGGAAGTGACAATTGGATATGATTATGAATCGGGGAGTGGGACAAATAAAAACGGACCGGTAACACGGCCAATGTACATGATGAAATGGGAGGTAAGACGCAATTTGAAAATTGATCAGGGTCAATAAGACAATACTGATAACGGATCGGATCCATAGGAAAGCAGCAGAGCATGAATCATTAATTTGGGACTAGGCCTAACTAGGGAGTGCAACACAGCATGCACGGACCGGGAAGTGAGAGAGCTCGTCAGTCGGCACGAACCGGGAAGTGAAACGGTTGGTCATGGTGAGCACAGGATGAGCGCAGCTCAGTGGGGACAGGGCTACAGCGCCGCATGAGGGAGGTCATCGTCCATTTGTTCCTTTGTTTTGTTGGGTTAGGCCCTTTCGGTCTGACAAGACCATTTCAGAGGCGGAAGGGTGATAGGAATTAGGGGGAGACATTGGTCTCGACAGGCACACTAGTGAGTCACCGGGGCTGAGCTGAGCCCCTCCCAAAGGACAGGCCACCCCCCCCCCCCCCAAGTACTCACTGCACCCGGCTACGGGTGTGCTCCCTTGGGAGCAGCGGTGCCGGTCCAAGGGGGAGCAGCCCACATAAGATAAAGTTGCCTGTCCAGCCCTCGCTCTCAGCCCGGACCGAGGGTTGCAGCGTGGAGGAGAACGAATTGAGAGTACTGAGAATGGAAACGACGGACGGGTGAATCGTCCATTTTATTTTATACATTGTTACGTACATTGTTACGACAAATTGTTGAGTAATATATTACGTGAGCTTACTTAGTAGTCGCAGCCGTGTCACATACCGGTTTTATCTCGGCTGGTGGCTACATTCGGCAGTCGGCGGTGGGACGAGCCCCCTGTTCACCCCCCCCCCCCCTCCAACCCCGTGCAGCTCCCACAACCCACAGCCTCGTCTGTCCGTCTGTCTGCCTGTCTGCGTCTACCTGACTGACAGCACACTGGTCGGCGCGCGCATGCCCGCGCACTAAGGTCCACAATCAGTGTCGGCCGGGCGGCCGATGGTCCTTACGGCCTGGTCCGCCGACTGCGGCCGCTCGGTGGCTCGGCAGACTCGACAGACCGGCCGCCGCGCCGGCCAGTTAGCCGAGGGGAGGGGAAGCGTGCGCTCGTGTCCCCGACCGTGACCTGGTGACCTGCTGACCCTGACCGGACGCGCGGCCATGATCTCGGCGAAGGACCTGTTCCTATTGGGGGAACATGAGTACCTGCGCCTGTCGATTGAGGAGCGCGCCGACAGGGGGTCGGACAGGAGCTCGCCACTGCCCAGGTTGAGGTGAGTTCAAATGGGGGTGGAAGACAGGGACCGGGAGAAACTATTCACTTCCCAGCTCATCTAAGACCCCTGCGAAACCAAGGATTTACCCTCCCGGGCGAGTGCTGCTCGTCAAATGTCACGAAACCGTGCATTTATCGCAATCGGGACGAAGAAGGTAAGGTCCCAGACTCCCACCCGCAGAACAACTAACAAGCTCTTTCGGGAGCCGGGATCGGGAGCCGAAAATGTGATGTATCAAGTATCATGGAGTGGCGTGTGCATGCGACATGGAAGAGGAGCTTTGGAACACTATTGACGATTCATCAGTGTGGAAGGTTTTCAGTAGGTGAACGGTGGACTAGCAATGCATACTACCTACAGAGATCACCTGGTGACCTGTGTTTGATTTACACGGGTCACTGACTCTTCATGCGTCCATGCATAACGCCACCTACTCGACTCGTCGAAACTTCCATTTATAGGCCCTTTCAACCGACGTCCGACCAGTCTTGAGCGTATGTATAATCGGTCCATTCATTTGTGCGATATCTGGCGAACTCTGGTCGTGAGCGCGCACTAGAGCCTACCATTGCCAGTTCATAGCACTTAAGTAACAGATGGGAATGTTGGCATCACAGGAGGGCCGGGCGGCCCGCCTAATTCCCGGAAATGCCGTTCGGCCATTGCGCGGAGATTAAATATGGAATTATTCGACATTCCGGATCCAGCACCAGTTCCATGACGATCGCGCCTGAAGTGAATATGAAATATCTTTTCGTCGTATCTATGGCCAAGGGATTGTGTTCATATTCATTGTTCACTGTTCACATATAAAGCATAGATGCTTCTTTTCTTCTATTTCTTTTTTGTCTATCGAATGCTTCTATTTTTTTAAAGTAAGATTAATCTTCTCATCAATAGATTCGAAGATGCCTCCGTTTTCGCCGCAAGCTTGTTAAAGGTAGCAAACAGTTCATATTGCTAGAAAGTTAAAACTTGATTCACAACCTCTTTCTGGCAGCATCGAGACTCCAGGAAGTAATCCGTCACCATTACCAATTATCATCATGATGTCGTGTGCTCTCCCCACTTTTACGTTTTGTTTTTTATGAAGCATCAAGCGAGTCATCAGCAAAGAGCCCTGCAGTACGGCAGTCACCGTTCTGTCCAAGGTTAGGTTTTGCCATTCATCCGTGCCGGTGTCCTGCAGCGGCCGTCCTGCCCGCTCCACTCAGGGGATGGGATGGGGTAGGTGGGGGGACGCGCCGGTCCTATGGAGGCTGCGTGGGCGCCCAGCCGGGCCGGACCAGTAGCTGTCCATACCGTCCAGTGCCGGCGGCGCACGGTGCGTGCAGCCGCAGACTGACGGCCGGCTGGCGCCGATCAGCCGCTCCGCCCCGCGCCGGCGACCGATCAGCCGTGGCACAAGGCCATGCGGCAGCGGGCGCCAACCCTGCACGGCAGCCCGTATCACCCCATCTGAGACGTGACGTCAGGATGAAAGGGAGGCAGCGGCTGCTGTCAGAAAACCCGTGCTCGGCGGCCGTCACAAAAAGCGCTCCGTCCATGATTTTATTCTAATTATTTCGTAGAGTCGGTACAATGCTTTTTTAACTCGCTGCGGGACTCTGACCTTATGAACCCAACTGTAAACGTCTCTTATGTAATGTCATCGCCTTACGTCACCACTTATAATGCACTCACCAGTCAAGTGTTTTTCCAAACGTGCAGGATACTCCCCAACCTCACTGAACTTACATATATCAAATTTAAGACGGTATCGAATCCCAGCTGATGATTTATCTGGCGATTGATAATCGAGGATTGAGATAATTCACAAATGAATGGATCGTTATTAGCTTTTAGAAAATGCTTATTGAGTGATCGAGGAAGAAATGGCACAACATTCCATCTTGCTAGCTCTAGCCGTTATTTGTGCCCTGCGAAAGTAATGCTCTAAATTTAAAAGCGAACGGCCACGCGCTCATTTAGGTGTAATGAGTAATGACTTCGAGTAAATAGGTACTCGTAGACGTTGCACTTTTCAGAGAATCCATCTGTGACCAATGGTAACAAATGAGTCATCTGCATTCCGTCTATTCATCTGAACTCCGATATGCAATAGTATCATTCAAATTATGTGATAATAGCTCGTCCTAGCCGGACGACTATTCGAGCGCCTGTTGACACTCCATAGCACCCGATACGGCTGGCTGGCGGGGGGGGGGGGGGCGTGACGCTGTTACGTCACGCTATCGACCGGTCCTCTCTCGGCTGGCGTCACACCACTGTGCTATGAAATCTGCAGTGGGCAATGTGCCCACGTCGCCTTCAGTTGGGGAGTTATCGGTCACCGCGGGGTCAAAGCCCTTATAACAAAGATCATGCTTTGAGTTATCTCAGGTGTGAGTGGCAATAGTACCTGTAGTGATAGGTATATAAGCGTTCTGTGAAATGTGCAATGTGCATGCGTGTTTGGCAAAGTCGTATGCTACAAAGTCGTATGTAGGTATCTATGCCTGAAGTGGGTTATCAAATAGAGTTGTCATGAGGTCAATACTCCTCACTTCACACTTGAAGGAGCCGTTCGTTACACATAGGTACACTGCTTCACTTTTCTTCATACTGTTAAGCAATTAATCAACTGTTTATCTTTACTGGTTTAGCATTGCATTAGCATTGCATAAAGTGTCAGACATCGCTATCGACCGTAATGCAACCTATAAGAATGGCACACGAATACTATCAATAAACAATTACGTCAAGAGCGGACCGGTTTCTTATGACTGAAGTGCAGTTTTGAGGTGCCGGTGAAGTCGTATACGAC